TTGAGTTCACACTCGATATGAGGTAGGTAACTGGTTTGATATTTGTTCAAGGACTCTGCCTCCAAATTTACAGTTTTGGGGCTTGGGCACATACCAAACTGACGGATTAAGTGAAGGCGCAATAAGCTCAAGTGAACTCAGAGGAAGACACATTAGACAATGATATTTTGCTTTCTGATCAATCGTTATTCACCAGAGCGATGAGAACCAAATGACTGCTCAACTCCACTTTTTCTCCGTGTTTCTCTCCGATACTTTCCAAATGACTTTTGGTTGATAGGACACCACTGCCTACAATGTTGTTATTACCGAGAAACTCATCCAAATCTCTCGTTTGTGATGTGCTGAAGTGAGTTTCATTAGCAAATGAATTCATTCTAGCAGAATGTGAATGAGTACTCCGAGACTTGGAATATAAAAAAAAGGTAAAACGTCTAGGGAAATACCAAAACTTCTTATAACATATGTATCATGTCAAAAACATTGATTCTCATTATCCTGAAAGATCCATCTGGTGGTCCCTCAAGCAAGAATGTCGGGGAGGCAAACTGGCATATCCTTGTTACTATTCACAGTACGAACATTGAAAACGGGCCTCTTTATGGTTGCGCTTGCCTGCAATACACTTATAAGGAAAAAGCTTATATAAATGAAGCGAGCTTGAAATTGGTATAAACTTCATAATATCGTCAGATTTTGCACAAGGTATGCGTGTTTTTAAAGCTCCCTACATAATTCAACTAATGTTGGTGTCGAAGATGTTGTATCGCCATTGAAGGTGCGTGTAATTCGATGATAATATCGTGTTGGTTCCCACATCCCGTTTATTAAGAATTAAAAATCTCGCACAAGGACCCCCAATATAACCTCAGTATTCATTCTCCGTGACCACTCCCAAAGAACGTATTGGAGATTTGTGCTGGCGTTCACAATAAATTCACACTTGACAGTCAACCGAAAACAATGCGATCACCTGCCGAAATCCAAAGTGAGACAGTTTTTGCCTCATTAGCTGGGTATTCCACTTGGATGCCGAATTAATTCAATATAGTTGCATGTCCGTTATGCACAATTTCCCGTGGATTGGTTTTCAAGTGATACAGTTACCCTGAAGAAGGATATTCAGGTTAAAAAAGGGGAAGATAGCAAAGTACATTTGCTGTTCGATGTCATGCACCCCGTATAATTTTGCTCACCCGTGAAACAGGCTTAGTGAATGCTCCGAAATTTCCACTCAGTGTGTCCCATCTAGGATTTGATTATCACTCAGTTGTGGTAATTTGTCCACTCACTGAGAGCAACAGAGCAGTTTATTCGAATTCAACATTTAATTTAGGCTTATTCAGCAGTTATCTACTTAACAAATCAGAGCCAGCGTATGATGCCTTCTGTGATCCCTTATAACTGGATCAATGTCACAAACCGTCTGTCTCATGTTTGTTTAGAGTGAAAACAAAAACGATCTCGTTAAATTGACATTTTGGGCTGCCGGCTATTGTATGAACACTGTGCCGAGAAGCCACTTTGTTTCTGGGAGACCAACTTGCAAAAACGTCCAGTCGAACAATAGGGAAGATTTGGTGGGTATAGAGAAGTTAGGAGGTTAAATAAAAACAGCTACCTTCATGGCCCGTGCCACAGTGCAAGACAAACTATGTTATGGTCACTGGACACGCTTTGCACGCCTCTTGAGATTTTTGGTTTTGTCTCTTGTTAGAACCATTTTTGTAAAGTTGCAGTTTAGTATTTAGCGCTGAATACATGTAAGTCACAACATTTTGTCGGATTTGACATTTCCATTAGGACCTTAAATTAAATGGGCGGGTAAAATGCGTAAACAGAAAGTCGCTTCTTAAACTTAAATAAATTGTGGCCAGAAAATGAACTTAAGAATAGTCTCAAATACTGAAAACTGAACGCAGAAATCATTTGCCGGCGTCCGTTTCAGAATAACTACAGCAGACATTTGTCGTTGAATTCACCATCTCGGCACTTGCTGACATGTTATGCATGAAGGGATAACAAAGGCGTTTAGACAGTAAAATCTGAAAATCCGAAAACATCACACTGGGTGAAATTTTGGAACGCTTTCTGATAGCCACTAGGTTATCACTAAGCTCTGACATAGCCTCTGTTTGTTCAACGTGGTAAAAGAGAGGCATTGTAAGACACAAACATGTTTGCTCTGTAAAACCTCAAACATTTCATGATTTTACCTACCGTTGAAAGAACGATTCGTTCCTGGGCAATATGGTATTTACTCCGGTGATAGCTGGATTGATGCGTTTGTGTCTCTCTCGTCAGCCGGGAAACGTTAAATGTTTACGTCATCAAAAGAAAGTCAGCAAAGCGGCCTCAGTAGAGTTCATCTTGAATCACAAATGTAGAGTTGTGCGAGCGATAAACTAAACACCCGTATAATAATCAGTCACCAAATTGTGCTACACTTTTATCTTCAATTCACAAGTGAAGCAGTGTTCCTGTTTGTCTGCTTAAGACGATATCTGTTCACGACAGAAGTGTGACAGAAGCTGACATGAGAAAATGTAAAAAATCAGTCCCAACCAACCGCTTTCAAACCTAGAGGCAGATTTTACGTTTGTATCAAATTAACGTGTGGGTAGTGATTAAATACCCATGGCAGCAGTGCCGAAAGCTTTTCAGTCGCAGATTAAACAAATAACGAAGTGTAACTTGACTCTTCTTGCATCGTGCATTTTCGTAGCACTCAATAGAGAGCCTAAAGCTCTCGTTTCTAATAGAAAAACATAGTGATTTTGCGTCGAAAGAACGCGATGCATCAAACGTATGGTTGCCTAAAGTGACGGTTTTCCTCTCACGCCCTTAGTATATAGAAAAGTACAAACAGGTCAAATATTGATGCGTGATTCTAGATGACATCAAACGACTTACTATTACAAGCTTATGTAAACAGTTCACAAATATATATATACGTACATATGAATACTACTTATAGTTGACTGGCATCCGAGACGGGTGCGCTGTCACTATGGGTTGATCCACTGAAGTTCTGAGCATAGTTGAGTAACTAAAAGTGTTTTGTGATGGTCCCATCTCAGTGCCACTGATGTCGATATACCCCGAAAAATGGGGCCCGCGAAGACTTACATGGGCTTGTTGACAGTCATGGAACAGCTCAAGTGGAGTGATTCATAGTGAACATCAATATTGAATATTTTGCCACAAGATGCTTTACACGCTCGTCGCTCTATCAACTTTCGCGGGGCAACAGAAATAAGCCTGAGGTGAAACAAGTAAAACATAATGTTGAGGGAAACTTGGGGACCGCACCTAGCTGGTAAGCTCCGAGAAGGAAAGAGTTCTCAGGAACATCGTGGGTGATTTGCTCCATGAAAAATGTTATCTCTGCTTTCCAAGCTTACTAGAGAAATTGGACGCCTAAGCAAAGTATCAGTAATTCGAATATCTCTGATTTAGTTACTTCGTAGTATGACAGTAGAGCCGGACAGCCTACAAATCCAGGATGACGTGTCTCTACCTGACGTTCACGTGATGACGAATAGGACTGCCTCAGTGGTTTAAAGTAGTTACCCTTGTGACCAAGTTAGATTTTACTCAAGCATGCGCAAACGCAAGTAGCTTGGAAGCTAGTGGTTGTGGTTACTGTTGATATTATAAAACCATTTGGAAAACTGGGGTTGCGCTTGATCCTTCAGAGGCGTTGCAACTCAAAGATCTTCAGGATTGTGCAGACTGTAGTTCGCTGGGGAGCGCTTTGTCAGAGATCAGATATTTTTCCAAGATCCTAAAGCAATATCACATCTTTAGAGACTTCCTGAAAACTGTCATACCAGCGGAATTTTAGTCCCCTTGGATTTGGAACGTCATTCGTCAAATGATCGTACATGCTGGCGAAATATATTCATTTGCGAACAAATTAATGCTGTGGGAGAATCACCAGGGAACCCAGCAAAATATCTCCTTTACGATGTTCTCAAGCAGGCAACAAGCCGCCTCTTGTTACAGTTGGTATAATATACGATATGTCGCACTGCCTGTACAGACGTAATACACTATTCATAAGGTTGTAGAAAATCCTTTGACAACCGGTTTCGCCTTTCTTGGGGCTCGTTGGGTAGTCGCAGTCCCCGAGATTCCGTCAACTTAAATCCCAGTTGCACGAATTTAGCGCAACACACTCATTTGCCACAAAGTTTGTTTCTTCTTCAGGAACTTCAGCTAGAACCCGCTCTATCTCTCGTTTATGGTAGCAAAGGATTTTCAGCATCCTTATGAGTAGTGTATTTCATCCATGGATGAAATATCACGATACCTCTACTATCGTACTAACAGGAACATAAGGCACACTCAGTGGCTTGAAAACACCAAACTGGTAGTCGTTTCCTGTTGAAAAAATGCATTGACTGGAAACATCAATTTTACAATGTTTTTATGATGATTTTAGATAAGAACAGGTTTACTTCTTCAAACAGTTAGTAGGTCCACTCAGACCCAGATTTACCGATGACAAACTGAATAACCTAATGTTTCGACTTACTATCATGGAGAATTCCGCCAATGGGTGCAGACTAATTATCTTGGAGACTCGAAATTAAAATTTTGAGTATTCACTATTCAACAACATTAGAAGAATAGTCTATTATAATCTAAGGCAAAGAGAGGTCAATTTTTCCAAGTGCATCTTCGTGTATGACCAGCATGTTGGAAGCTGTGCCACGTCCGGGAGGAGTTCTACTTGCAATAAAAGGGTATCGAATCCCGAATAACCTCCGAAAGTACCGTTCAACGAAATGGCCCCTCCGAAGTTGAAACCAGCCGAAGTTCAGTGAAAATAGGACGGTTAGGGTATATATTTCCATTTGAAAGAAGAAAGTGTGAACCAAAGCCAAATATTTTCTGCTTCAATGACGTCTGAAAACAGGTTCAGTTTGATGTTTTCCAGATAATGAATACGTCGGGAAGCTTTAACATTTTCCAATTGTTTTATTTTCAAACAGCTGCGTTGAACGAAAACCGCCTGAGTGTCTCGCACAACTGTCCATTCACTGGTGGATTTCAGATAACAAGCATCACTGAACTTCCGGATCGAAAAGTCAGTAAATGTTTTGCATACTTAGCTGGAACCAGAAATAATTCATATTATCCTCATGTTTTTTTCTTTTGAAAACGGTTTGCGATCCAAGTGCATCAAACAAACCATACGTAAATTTTATTGGGCTTAATCTCGAATCGAAAACGATATTAAACAGAATATTTCTCGACAACTCATGATATATATACATATTGATGTTTTGAAAGAGCAATCCACACAGGCCCACATGTGTGCATTTTCGCTGGGAAGCCCTTGAAGCACTTGAAAGCGACGTCGCAGCTTGCCAAATAAACAATCGGATGTTTTGGAGATCCAGTGATCGTCTTGGAATTAGTGACTGTCTTTTGAAGTCAGGTAGTAAACCGCGCGGTGCAAATTGTCTTGAGGTTTACGCTGTGTGCACAAGTATTAAGAGGCAACTCCTCTAGATGTATGCAGATCTATGTTTGTTTCTAGTCAGTGCAGACTATTAGCATAGGCGATGAGGCCATGCTTCCTAGAGGCCACCAAATACAAATCAGCCAGGCACTCAATTTCTCCAATGGGCGCCAGCGACTGGTGGAGTCATTGGATGCAAGATTGTTCGTTTTGCCACACACTACTTGAATGCTTAACATTGATGAACAATCACTTTAAAGCAGTTCAGTATTTTTCAAATCAACCTTCCATCACATGCATGTAAGGCGCTTCAAACTACCCTGGCAGGTATTACTCGCAAGATTTATCAGTGGTACAAGCTTTTACACTGGTGATATCTTCCAGGTAGTCTGAGTGGCAATAACAAAGCAAAACAAGGGGGTGTGTCCAGGACTGATGACGGCGCCTGGTATTTGTGAGTTTTCCTCAGTACAATGTTGGATCGGGACGTAACACAAAGACCCAACTGATCGTTGAGAAACGACATTATGCACGAGATGAAAACTGGGTATTTGTTCGCGCCTTCAAAACAAGAGCATCACTTCCGATTCCAATGTACGCTGTAAGAGCTTGTGATCATTTGAAATAGTACTATGCGGAGAAACCCCATGCAGTGATAATAAATATGGCAGTCTAATTATTATTTGTGTAAGTAAAATCATTCTGTGACCCATCTTTGTACGTTTTTTCATCCTGAAACATTCTGAATGATTATTATCCAAAACCAATCGCGTAATATCTTACGTACCTTTTTGTCCACTAGTAAAGTCAAACGGTGCTTGCATTGAGGACATAACTCTGTCACTTGCCAAATGCACACTAACCAAACAGATTATCTATTTTCGTAATGAATACTGACCTGTAATACCAACAGTATGTCTCATGCAATGTACAACCCCACAGTTGTTGTCCGAATACGCTCTTTGAACCGCCTACAAATGCATTGTCCATCTTACTACATTAATTATCCGCAACATATTTTGTATGCATTATGTACATTTGCCATTCCCAATCAAGTCAGACATTCGAGAGAGAGAAAGAGAGAGAGAGAGTAGGTTTATGGAGTGGAGCTTATACGCGCTTATACGTCAACGTGCATTAGTCAAATGACACGAATGCATGGACAAAGAACGATTCGGTTTAATGCATATTTCATTGTTCGCGTATGTACAATCAGCGGTAAAGATGAGTGTGACAAGCGAAACTCGAATTTGCTGGACATCACTCGCGTTAGACAGTCGTTTGTTTCCTTGTCTCGACACCGAATTGACTGATTTTACGCGTACTTTCCAGGTGCATCACGTACTTAGCGTCACACCATGTGTAAAAGGTAAGCGGTGAATAAAGCAATTTCATTGCATTGCAAACCACAGAAGTTCTTATGGCACGTCTGGGAACGGAGTATGGAACATTTCTTTGATACTTCATTCAAAAGGCTGGCATATTTTGTCAGACAACTAATAATACAAAAGCGACTGGACTGAAGAAAATGTTCTTTCATTTTATTTGGTGTAATATATAAGTCTGCCGATTTTATTTTACTTGGACAACTCGTCACTTTAACAGTGGTCAAAGTTTGATGAAATGAGATAGGAGCCTATAAATAGTCGCTGCTCAATGTGCAAAAATGTGAGCGAATTATTAATTTAGTGTCAGAAACCGGAATGAGATCAGGTTTATTCTAACAGTCTTGTATCAACCGTTACGTCTGATATCGTCGTCAAATCCTCTATTCAAACTACATTTAGGCATACAGACGTCATTAACAAATGCGAAGTTTGGTAAATTGTATGAAGATAGGGCCGGGGTGACATTCGTTTGTATTTTATAGCAAGCAGAATAACACTTCAATTGAATGTCCCACATGTTTGGAGAAACGGTTCCTGGACAGGAAAGATTGACAATGAAAAAACGCCTAGGCATTTTTAAGTAGTAGCCTTCAGATTTGTTGGCTTGGTTTAGCTAAGGACCACTGTAATCATCAGAAAAAGCAACATAAGCTTTGAAGCCAGTGCTTCACTGCCGTACAATAATGAAATTTGTCCAGTTATATTCCGTGTCTTTGGAGTCAGAGAAGATAAGAGAGTGCGTGATGGAGGGGACTTTGTAGTGGTCCATCGTTAGCATTCTGAAATACCACACCTCCAAACGCCCAGTCGGATAAAATGCAAAGGAACTGAAAACACAACCGCCACTGACATCGGTCGGCTGCTACTTCTCACAATAATTCCAGCCAAGTAAAGGAGATGTGACGGGGACCCAGTCTTGAAAGACGTACTGCACCTGAAATTTTCGTAATATCTTTTACACAGTTCTGCCAATTAATACATTGTTCATCTCTTGCGGTAGGCCATTCCTAAAAAAACACGGAGAACACTCATCTCGGTAGGCTGTGTTTTGGCATGCGTGGCCTATGGCCGAGCTATCGTAGTCAGCGGTGCTGGATAATTTTGCCGATTGAAATACCTACTGCACAATCGCCAGCAGCGTTTTATCTGGCAGAAAAGGCCATGTTTCGCAGACATACAACAATACACTCATTTTACATGGCCTGGTACACGCGACTCTCGAGACAAGTTGCATGTCACAAGTGACGAAAATTAGCAAAGGCGATTGTGGCTTTTGAAATTCGTGTACTGACTTCATGAGGTACCTTTTCGTCATTGCTGACACAATTATCTAAGAAACGTAAAATTCTCCGGAACCTCCAGTGATTCCCCTTCGAATTATTGTGGTTATGCTCAAGAACTGCTCTCTCTGAAAAATGACTTTCCACTTTGAAGAGGCAAAGCGCATGCCAAAAGAAATAATGACAGCTGCCAGTTTACTCAACAGAGCTTTCGCTGCGCCTTCGAAGATGAGGGCAATGACGTCTGCATACAACCAATCGATGAGGTTCTCATCAGCAGCAATTTGAACACCAGTGTTCGCGTCAGTATTTCATCAGTGAAGAAGTTGAACCAGAATGGAGTGAGTAGGCACCCTTGTCGTACATCACTTTTTTAGGGGTGCTTTTGGAGAGCTTACCATGCATTCTCACACGCCCATAAGTCTGTGCATATACGGACTGGATTAGCTCCACAAACTCTTGGGGCACAACCCGTTTAGAAAATTTGGTCAACAGTACTGACCCAACTACGGAATCGAACGCACCCTGAAAGTGAAGTAACACCGAGATTTTGGGTCCTCTGTACATATGGTGCTGCTCCAGCACCTGACGGTGAAGATATACAGTACTGACCCAACTACTGAATCGAACGCACCCTGGAAGTGAAGTAACACCGAGATTTTGGGTCCTCTGTACATATGGTTCTGCTCCAGCACCTGACGTAGTGTGAAGATATGGTCAACACAGCACCTACCTGGTCGGAAGCCGCTTGATGCTCACGGATCAAGGATTCCCCTGTGGCCGTAGGTTGACGAAAAAGCAGTGGCTGGAGTCAAACTAACACCCGTGTGGTAACCACACACCTCGAGTACCCTTTTTGAAAATGGGCACCGTTGTCGATTCACCACAGTTACCTGGATCGGACTCTTTCTCCTAGACTGACCCTTTTAGGCCAGTCGAGCACTGGATGAGAACTCACATGCCATCGTTAAACAAACAAGAAGGAAAGTCGTCAGCGCCAAGAGTAAGATGACGCTTGAGTACAGAAATGCACTCGATCACTTCCAATGCTTAGGACTATGAACATCGATTTAGAGGAAACCTAGCGTCCGAGAAACAGCCACCTGTTATCCCCCTTGTCTCATTGTGCGAACATTAAAGTTAGCCTAGTAAACCGGATTTCAGATTCGAAAACTGGTTTTAAAGTGTCTGGTTTTGTCAACAAAGTTGGACGTACAGAAGCTGCAAATGCGTTGGACGCACGGTGAAGAGTGCAGTCCGTGTTGAGGCCTGAAGATAGATTACCCAAACTAGGGTTGAATATGGTAGGAAGGAGAAACCTTGAAAGGGTAGGAAAGCAGTTGTCAGCAATAGCATGTTTTTGGTCATCCCTTGTTAAGCGGAACAAGTCACCCTACATGCCCCAACTCCCAACCTCGATGGCTAAGTGACTGTGTTGGTTGCACGTTTAATCATTGACCAACCTGGTAAGAGGGACCCTGTAGCTGTCACTTTAGCTCCATGATCCAGAGAAGCACGCAAACTATCATACCACGATAAGGTTTAGTCTCTTTGCGACGACTGAGAGCAATAAACGTAACTATGATAGGTGAAAAGCAGTTGCAGACATCCTAGGTTATCCGGGTTTCGATCGGAGAGTTCCGCAATACCTGGCTGAAATATAATCCATGGAAAACTGCATTGCGTTTCTTTTAAACCAAATTTATTTAACCTTAGCAATCATGAATGTAGCTTATATTCTGGCACTTAATGGCCATTCTGGGCGTTGGACGAGGCCACACACAGTGCTCTTTGTGAGCCCATTTTGTACGTATGTGAATGCGACCATGTATGTCATTGTACTAGAAAGGAATCATCCTTCATCTCATTTAATATGTTGGGGTAGCACGTTGAACCACAGTGTCGGACACATACACTGATAAGTTCAAATAGAAGAGGAACATTGTCCTTGTGTTCTAGAACGGGACTGCGCAGAACGGAGTGCATCTGATAAAAATACAACATCTCTTATAATGATTCACAGTAAAGAAAAATCATAGTTAGTTGTCGTAAATTCCTAATCCATGGACATAATTATAAGTTGCATCATGAACGACTATCCTCACAATAAGACCTTTAGTGTATCAGCTACTGGTTCTCTCTAAATAACACCCCAAAAACAGCTCCTATATATATGTGCATATATATATATACCTTATTACTGCCCCAAATACCGGAAATCACAATGTATCGGTAGTACCTATTTCAAATAGTTCAGAGTAGATTTTACGCATTTTCCAACAAATGTTTGTCCGCGAGATGTCCCCAGGCCATAATGGGGCAATTAAATTTCTGACTACAGTTTGGCAGGTAATAATTTCTGAAGATTCTGTCATCGACTGATCAGGACACTATTAACGAATTGGAGTTAAGTAAACAGGAGGAATTAAGAAACGTTTTCAGTTTTCTTTTCCATTCTCAACCACTGAAAGTTGTAAGTTTATATGTCCTCAAAACAAGATTTATGATTGTTAGGATGATTAGTCTAACACTTTGCAAAAATACCTCTTCCAGACAACATGCCTTTGCGTGTTTCAAAACGAAGGGTATATTGGCGCAATTCATTCGATTTTCTGTTACAACAGGGCTGTTGACAGATGAAATGTTGATGGAATGTGGTATGAAGAAACAGTTAAGTTCACAAATATGTGGTCGACTGATGGAGTAAAATCTCACAAGGACAACTGTTATTTCAAAATAAAGTTCACCACGGTTTTCAAGAACAACCGGATTTGTTGTTAAGACTGGGTAAAATTAAAGGTGACCCAAAAGGTTAGCTCTTTGCCGTTCAACCTGCGTTGCCGAAACTCCGTCCAATTTCTGTCGAATGATTATCCTAGCTCACTAGATATGTCAACCGTTTAGGATAAAAAATTCATGACATATGCTAACCTAACCATAACAGAATAAACAGCAACACTAAACCCGTCCGCAAAGACAACGCACACATTGGTAGTGGTCTGATCAAAGTAAGTTAAGCACACGTATTTTTCGTTGAACTGTCGCGCTACACAGCTTGTGTTATCCAATACAAAGCGTCCGTAAAATCGGAAATTTTAACACAGAATTGCACAAAAATTCACAATGCTAAACATCATACTTAAGAATGTATAAAAATATTTTTCAAGGTAAATCCCACCTACATTCGCCTCCTAATAACGAACAAACACGTCTGCAAAGATTGAAGTTTGTTTGCTTCCATTCTACCCGGTTTAATGTACAGGAGATATTCATGTTATCTTAAGGACTACAAACACCAGTAGATGAATTTTTATTAAGAATTTTGAGAAGAAAGTATGGCTAACCTTTTGCATTTGACTGATTAATTGCATGATCGAGGATAAAACCAATGGATAAGATTTGGAAACTTCATCAGGTCCTCTAGTGCGTGTTTACAATAAAAGCGCGGAATTGAACCACATTCTGATGTTGACTGCCTGAACGTCATTTGCAAGAAATAGGCTCGCACATTCAGAAAGTTGACGTTCCGTCATTTATGGCTGTTCCCTTCTTGTCTCAGTTTAAGCAATGCAATAAAATATGAGGCCAAAGCTTGTTACAGTCGAATAACCGGGTTTGAGCGACTTATCGGGACTGAAAAATTGGAACCGCTTAGGCCTCTTGTTACTCTCTCAAGATGAACACCGTCAACTTAAAAACTTTGGCCATGCCATCGTCGACAGCATAACATCACTGTCTAAAATTGATTATTCGCTGGTAACATTTTATTTGTATCGGCACAGTGAATCGTCTCCCTAGCCCAGTACTGGTTACCGTCACCATTATTGATCCTTGATTCTGCTCTAGTTTTTACTCCATAACGGGAACTACGTCTGTGATACAAACCCGCAGATCAGCTGTATTCATACTCAGTAAAAAACAAAACTTGTTCTTAGGCTACATATTAAATGAGTGACAACATGCCGTACATTTACTTAATACACGTCAACATCAACAACAAAAAATAACTGTTCTCTCCAGGACTCTCATTTTGTTTAGGAAATGGTTTAACTTGGCGCCGTTTTCTCATTTCGCCGAGCAAGCTCATATTATCCACTGTGATACACTACCAGAAATGACACATCTTTAGCTAATTGAGGTCGTTATGTATATGATGCGTGCTCGGCATTTAGGAACAAATGCCTACGCAGGAAGGATTTGTCCAGGTGAGTGGAAGACCATCAGGCTAGTAGCAGATGCCTCCTTGGGAGGTATTCGTGCTCTTTGCGAATATCGGTCAACCATGGACAGCTTTTGTCCTCCGTTAGCTGTGAAAATACGCGCGTTATCACTACCTGAATGACTTGATGCTTCCTAAAACGTCCCTAAAATAGTCGCAGGTCCAATGGCCTCCATACACCTGTTTTTTTGCCAGGGAGTTAGAGATTTTGGGCGTTTTCTAGTATTTATTGTTCCCGTCACTGTCCCGCAATTCAAGCAGCTCAGCGCCTCTTTTACTTTAATAGCAGCAGTTGCATAATTTTAAGTTGTGCTGTGGGGTAGAAGAAATAATGTTTACACTAACAAAGTTAGATATGAATTTCGGGGTTTATTGATTCATCTGGAAGTATGAAAGGCTTGCCGCTATCGAACAGACTGAATTCATTAAATTCTTATGTCGCTTCAAATAAACCCGATTTGCATAACAAAATAATCTCAGTGAGTTTACTCAACCTTTTTCTGATTGTAGTCGTATTGTGACTATCAGTCATTTGCCACGCTCGAGAGCGATTGCGTCGCAGATGAGGGTATGGAATGGTCATTTGATCAACCTCGTTGTAATCCGTTTGAACCAACTCAAGGTAAGTATGGATATGCTTGTCTGCCTTTGACGTTATTATTGTTTTATCTCGTCATTTGCATGTTGCGTATGGGACCCATTTTTAGGGACCAATACAGCTAAACACCTGACCAGATGGTCTTGGTTGTGATCAGCAGAAACTAAATATTCCAGTCAACTTTAAGCTGAAAATTGCGTTAATTCAAGCAAATAAATTATTCAATCTTGTTCCACGAGCTCGATAACCTACACAAGCAGAGTACAACATTTCGACTTGTGTCTGGCTTAGAAAGAGTGCAAAAACCTGGAAAATCCTAAATAGATGAGCATTCCCGTTATTTTGAGCGTACATAGAAGCACGCGAGAATTACTGAATGCTATTATTTAGTTTGCACCGTACTGCGAAGAGTGCTGATCCAGTATTTGTACCTTGGAGAATTTTTTCAATAAATTTGTTGCTGCGTCAGCAAACTACCTCGATTAACCAGGTCACTTTAAAACAACATTGTGAGAGACTGTTGTTATTGCGTCTCAACCACATTTAAGCAAACTTTCATGGACACACCAACGTCACAGACTTGGATCTACCTTACGTAAACATTCTGGAGTCTTTGAAAATTCTGTTTTTATTCTTTTGAATTGCCTCAAAAATTGAAGGTGACCAAAGAAATCTACTCATAAAAGCTATGCACTAGAGGTCCCGTCTTTCCATGGTACCATTTTTTAACTAAATAAACACGTGACCTATTATGCAGTCTTTGGCAACTCACTTGATAATTCGCATTTTGAACTGAAAGACCAAGGTGTTGAATTTCACTAGCAGTACGTCTATCATTGAATTCTGTATTCTAAATAATATAAAGATATGCCTTGGTGAAATATTGCTGCTGAAATCAGACAAAAAACATTGATACTGGTTCCGAGTGAAAGTTCTATTGAGATAAATGCTCCCACCTGAATTAGCCACACTAGGAATCGCAAAAATGTCACGGTTCAAACAATTTCATCAAACAAGCTTCCGATTGCCACTGCTTTGCGAACCCTTCTACCATAACTGGAATTCAGGATAGGTTGTTTCAATTTGCCGCCGCAACCGCATAATCCAAGCATCTTGTTTTCATTCGAAGATGCCCTACCTAATAGAAATCCATTAAACTCGCTGTTTCTGCAATCCACATATTTGGTCAAATCTCTCCTGTGTGTGAAACTATCCAACGGTCGCAGATGTGGCACAACAAAGCGATTCCCATGCTCAAATCCTCAGAGCTTATGATGTCTGTTTCTTCCACCATAAAAGCAATCCTATGACTGTGATGGTTGATTCCATTAAGTTGTTAATAGGATAGTTCGTTGAGTGAAAGTCAAGAAAAATATATAAATTGTCGTACACACATCATGTCGCTGTTTGCGAGGATATCTTGCCTTGAAATCAATTTTTAACCAAACTCTATTTACGCAACGCAAGCAATTTTTAGGGAATTTTCGGGACTTGATTAAACTTTTATTCCTTTTGAGGAGCAAGCTGAATTTTCACACTATCGTGAAGAAGGTGACAGCAGCATAATTTAAATTTGGGTAGCCAATTAGTATTTGCATCCAACTAAGTTTCAGTTGAGCTAACGTATGCATTACTAGTAAAAAAAGTCTGACAGTTCCCGAAATCCCCTCAAACATTACCATTACTTTATGATAAGTAGGAACATTTTAAACGTTTCCACATGGTTCTATCGTGTTGAGCTAAGCGATCTCGTGGACAAATTTCCGGAAGAATGATGGGACCGTTGCTGTCCCATCACGGAGCATAAAGGAAGAAAACCAAATTCTCCTACTTTATTCGTCAGCCGTGAGCCTGTTTGCTTGTGCAGTTTTCATATTTTATTGAACAGGGTGCGGAGGTGAATAACAATACTTTAGACTGGAACTGGAATTGACCTAGAAAAAAGCTGCATGTTAGATATTCTGGGAAGCTGACATTGGTCGACACAGTGACCCATAACAACTGAATGCTCGACCAATGTGGTTCTGCTGTTTTCTTTTTCCACCGTCATACGCATAAACGACAGGTTATCTTTCCCTCCAGTTGCCTCGTGGTCTCGGTTTACCAATGTAGGTCTAGCAGAAGCTACCATGGTTGGAAATCCAGTCGACGGAGACTTTAAATCATGGAAATACATCATCCTCTCAGACTTCTGGCTAAACTTCTGAGGTAACCGAGTTTGAACTGAATCCCCGTCAATGCATGGATTTGACGCTGTAGAGCGGACACCGTATACTTTCGTACCTGCACTAAATACAGTCCTGTTAGAATAAACGACCAGCTTGAAAAGTTTCTCAGACCGTGAACACACGATGGCTTGGTAAACGGGATTCCTCACTTTAAGCCATACAAAACACGCATTCAGCTTATACATATCCCGTAATCAAGGATATTCTTCCGAACATGTTTTCTTCACCAGTATTTCAACCTCTGGTTAAAATAATGGCTAACTGCTTCAGTGGAACTTGTAATGATTGTCGCATACACTTTTTGCGTGTTTTTTAATAGCGTTATTTTTTAATAATTTCCAGCAGTAATCTATACCTTTATGTGCTTGTGCCAATTTTCCTCTAGTGACACGCTTTATTTGCCTCCAAGCATGGAGCTTTGCGGACATCAACTTCACCATCCTTCATGACAAGCGGGATATCAGTGGACCTAAAACCTACTCCCTCGTAAGCTATTCTAATCCCATTGCCTTGTGGGTGTTTTTGGGTTTAATTTACTTACACTATTTTAGACTCTCCTATTTTGCCTGCGTTTTGTGATAGAGCTTGGTCCGTGAGCTTCAAATTCTTGTTCAAATTGGTGGAACAAATGTGGGATGACAAATCCTCGGTCATATTAGTTGTCAGAACCTATGTTTGACACACATATGGTCATTGATTTCTTGCAAATATATGTATTAATAGATTCTGATGTTGCTAGGGGAAGTTTTTTGCCTACACACGTGTCATTTACATACATTTTTGGATGCCGGTCGAATGCAGACGAACTGCCAAATGGAGGCAAATGGATAATATCAGACAAAGCCACCAATAGGTTTGTTTTATTCGGCGCTTTCTGGTATTTCTAAGGATGTGAAAGCATTAGTGTCAGTTTACCCATTCCTGTTTCCCTTGCCTACAGACTAAACTGTCTCTGATCTCACGGTCGCACTACGTTTGCCATAAGTAATTTTCAGGACTACTGAACACAAGATTGCTGTTCAAAATCGTCTTCTCCAGCACTTGATGAATGTCCTCACCCGTAGGCCAGACATGTCTCTCACATAATGACAATTCAAGGGACACGAAACGCACGTTATTTTGCGATCAAATTCTCAGTCTAAGTAACAAATGTATCACTTCACGTCGGAAAGATAAATCAGCAAGAGCCGTTCTGTGTTCAAGAGTGGTCGCAAGTGTAACCATCAGGTTCTCCTTATATTTCAATCTAGTTTATAACTCAAATCCTTATAGTCCTTTATATAATAGACACATTATGGAAGGTTATCTCACATTCTTTATCATTTGGACGAATGCGACACCTCAGAGATTTCGGCCATTGGGGTAGCACATCAAAACACAAACAAGTCAGTGACAGGAAGCATTCCTGGTTTGAATTTCTGTCCTTAACTTATGTCTTCAGTACAGAACACGCTCCACCATAGTCGTCGCTTTTTGTTTTTTTTAAATTAAGGATGCCACTCACTAAGATGGCTGCACTTTGCAATCATGGAAAGATACTGGGCCACATGATGTGAAGTATAGGACAAATTCAACACATTCACGGCTACCAGAATGTTTAAGAACTGGCTTGAATGGTCGAAAAAGTGATCACTAATTTATATGTACAGGATAAAGCAATAAATCATATGGAGCTTTAGTCCCTGTCGATAAAAAGATTATTTTCGCCATCATTCAGTGTGCTGTAAATTGTGTATAAATAGCTGATGCACACAACACACGTACAATTGTCAAGGTGCATTTAATTGCGTTTTCATAGATTGCTATTCGAATACTTGTGCTCAAGATAGGAATAGAGTAAAATACGTTATTGAAACTCTGGCCATAGATACTGAAAAGCGGCAATTTTCCAGCATAACGTCCAAAATATTTACGACACATTAAGATGCGATTGCTCATAAGCCGCTAAAACAGTCTCCTTATCCTTTTAAATCCCACGATGGACATCACTTGAAACGGAGTGCATATAAAACGTATAAGCGCAGCGGTTTATTAGGTAAACGAAAGGTTTTTAGCCCATGAAGCAAACAAGATGTTTCGTTCGAGACAAAAAATGGCCCCTGGAAACGATTCTACATGGATTGTACCACAGTAAACAAAGGTGTAATCAGTCACAAAACACCAACAAAATTTTTGTACATCCGCGGTTTCGCCCACTCATACGCTGCCATGCGATTGAATTTACCAACTGCAGATTCGACTCCCGAAGGGGAAAAAAGTTCCTTCCCCATGATGATTTTTTTTCATATTTGAAAAAATGGTTGGAACTGCTGCTGTTTTCCTTGTGAAAGATATGTGACACTAGTCGAACAAAGTCTAATCCACATGTCCGTAACCAAAGTTAATAGTTCATCATTCACTGGACCTATACCAAGGTTCCATGCTCAACTGGGTTGAACAGAGAATCTCAACAGAATTGGCTTGGCTTGGATGGCCCGATCATGATTCTCCTTCATTTTCACGTTCAAAACAGTGGTCACATAACTGGTTGCTCCTCTTCCATGTGTGTTTCAACTTATAAAATTGTGATAACTCCTCGATAACCGGCCACTGTTTGCATCTTGCTTTGTTCTCACAACCATGGTGTAGCATCTGAACATCAGCTGACCTTCCAGTTTACACAAGCATTGGGAATATCACAAATATACGTAGTCTGCTTGCTTGATGGATGCTAAAATGACTCACAAAAGGTTCGAAAAAGTTGCTCACTCATGATGCATTTTAGCTGAATATTTAGGATTCGTGGTTCGGGAACAAAGCGCGTTTTGGAAATCTGGGACCCATTGATGATCTTTCTCGAGTTCCCATGAACACAAAAATTGCTATTTTGCAAAGAAAGTTTGACCTGCCATATTCTTTTGGAACAAAGTGCAGTTTTCTGGATGACCGATGTCGAAATAGTTTTGCAAGCTGATGACAAACTGCATGGCTACAAATGTATGCTGTGCACAACAATCGGCGTATTGAAGCCTGGATGGAATTCTTCATGCACAAAAAATACATCTGACAAGGAAACAGGTGGGTAAGTTTGGGTGATGGAACTCCAAGAGAGGCGCTGAAAATATGAACGTCAGCAGCAACCCCCAGCATATAAATGTACCAATTGATTCCTTAGTTTCACATCGCAATCCCATAATTTTTCCAAGAATAAACCACGGCAATGTTGTTCTGGGCTACATAGTGGCTCATGGCTTGCGTGATATCGAATCCTACTACCGGTCATCAGCTGTCCACTTGCACTTCATGAAGAAACGACAATGAAGTCCTGAAGCTGAGCACTAATTGGAGTGAATTTCTAAAAATTACTTAGTGATCCTTGGGCGGATGAATGTCTTTTAAGTGGTGCCGCATTCAGTCCCATCCGAATGTGTCAACCAGACACCACTGGTAATTTTACTCAAATTTTTTTTAACTTTCCGAAAGATTTTGCCGTGTTCGTGCCTCAAATGTTGCCAAACCTGTGTAAACGGCCTTTGCCATAGGTTCTAATGAATACCAGACCCTGGAAAGGTCCTAAAAAGACTGTGTAAGCTGCTTCACATAGAAAACGCATAACAGCCTTAGCATTGCATTTTTTATTAGAAACCTACTTTTAGGTCAAAACAGCCGCTACATTCTCATAGTTTGAGAAGGTAAGTAGCCTGATGATAAGAAATGGCATGGACATTTACTCATTCACAGGAATTATCAACAAGTAGGATGGTTAACAGAAGTAGTCTGGCTTTTTCACCACTAGTGTATTCTGGAAGCTGTCAATCGGGCTAGCTTTGTTAATTATTTGTAAACAGTGGTAAAGAAACCTGAAAATAAAATCAGATAGCCTTTAACGTAATCCAGTGCATGGTTAATCGAAATTCATTCAATGTACTGCTTCTTACTGATCTGAGGTACAGTATAATGCATCCCTACCTTGCCTATCGGTTATTTGTCCCCAAGTACGGAAGTTGGCCAGAATTATCGGGCAAGCTTTTCACTAATAGTCTCCGTCAATAGAAAACCATTCATTCGATTAATTTAGTCGGTTTTAAAGACGACCTCATATTTTGCCTATGGGGCTCCCAAAACCCCATTATATAGGATAATCCTGCAGTGGCCTTCCCTAGGATACTCTGTTTTCGAAAATTTCATGACATTTTTGGAACTTTTGCTAAGGTTTCTGCTGCGCTAACGAATTATTCCTAGTCGTCTGTAGAGTGCAGTGGCTTTTCAATAACATTCTTAACAAAAAACAAAACCCAAGAAGATTTACACTGCATCGGCGAAACTCCTTTTATTAAGTACACTCATTTACAGACAACTTTGGTTTTGAGAGACTCACCTGGAACTCAGATAAATCTCCCACTTATGATGTTTCTCGTCCCATATTTAGTTCATTTGAGGTGATTGTCAATTCTGTGAGCCAACGGCTACTATTTCAAACTCAGTCTTACCTGGAAACTCAAAATCATCCTGCGGAAATCATAACAATTGAGTTGTTTTATTCTTGAGGCCATCAATCACCTAACGCTAACTCACTTGCCAAGTTGCTCACCATTTTATAGCAAAACAAACATCAGAATTGTTTCCAAGAGTAGATCAGAAGTGTTCAAGCAGTTTGTGCGACATGTGCATGAGTTTCACTAAAATAGCAGCTTGGATTTTTGGGTGTTTAACCCCTAGTTGTTGTTGTTAACCGTCGAAAAACAGTGACCCCCAATTTTGAGCACCATACCCCGCCGCTAAATGATCAGATGCCCAATCCTGATCGCTAGGATAGCAGTGTGTGATGCCATAGAGTCATATTTTAATTTGTTCCCTCAGCACCACTGCCTTCTGAAATAGCCTGTTTGCACAATACACATGCGAACACAAAGTAATTGGGCGTCCGCATCGGCGCATTTCATCAGGGACAAGTAGCATGATCATTTTAGCAATCCAATTTTACTTCCAGCTGAATGTTCTTAAAACGCATGCATGAATGGTAATGGCAGGCACTAAATTGATACAAATAAAGCTGTAGAGACTTCTTGAATCTCATACACTGGTGTTTAAGCAAACCATTTGCTATTGTTGCTTCCGTGATTGGCCATTGCACAACTTTTGTTAACAGTTGGGGCACCTGCGGTCAGACTAGCTGGAGCTTCGGTTTTGTGACTTCCACTCCATCAGTTCCTTCCAAACTACGAAACTACTTCTCTCTACTTGTATACGAATCAACCTAGAACAGTTAGGGTTTAGTATTCGGAGCTTGCAAAATTCCAGCTCGTAAAACCGGTGATGAAGGCGAATGTCTGAATGCTTGTCTGCAACAGAGCAACAGCAAAGTGTGGTTTTGTCACAAGTCATTTCAAGGTCTGAAATCCGATCACTGTGAGCCGGGTAAGCACATACTAGCTACCAGTGCCAATGTCCTGACAAAAGACAGTGAACTCCACACTGTCTAATTACATTATTCCGCAAAGCTGGTTTTGCATGTAAATGATTGATAGAGATGGAAATAATGTACAATTTTTACCTTGTTCAACCTGGATAAACGGGTAGTCTTCAGAAATGTTGACCGTATAAAAGAGATGACTGTAAATATAGTGACAGCTATAGAAACGAGCAACGGAACAAATGTTCCACATACTTGTTTTCCGGTTCAGTAGAAAGGCAAATTATGGCCTACTTTTCTGCAGCACACAAATATGCCCATACGTGGAAATTAGAAAAATGTCGACACTAAAATATGACCAAAAAACCTTACATGTTTATCTCTCCTAGTCCGCTTGGACATCACTTGTTTCTGCCAACCGAGTCTGAGGTTGTCGATCCTGGCAGAGATGAACGGCCCGATCACTTACCAATCACTTACACGGCGTACCCATATTTCAGCCAACTGCTACTTTTTGTTTTGTGAGGTAGCATAAACGCAGATAACCTTATCCCATCTGCACATCAATAAGTTGTTCATATTCACAGTGTGGATTTCTCCCAGTATTCGTTAATTTCATATCGCCAAAACCATCCACTGTTTTGTTGATCATAGACATGAAACATTATTTTACTGAAGAGGAACAGACAGAATTTTAACAAAGCACACCGTTGTCACATATTTTTGTGCTTGCGTGTTTCAGGCCAAGCAGAACACAAACAAGTCGGCCGAATTTATCTGTGTGAACACAAAAAGACATTCGTTACCCGTTGGCAATCGATTTGAATGCCTTTCAATTCTGATCACGTATACCGTAAAAATTCATTTTTTCGGGAATTCTTATTCTAGAAATCATACAAAAAAGACGTCCTGGAGAAAAACTATCACTTGGCATCAGCTCTGCCCAACGGTAAAGTGACAAAATTTGCACACACCAGATAGGACCAGTAAAACGGGAGAAAGTCACCTTAATTAATGGAATAAACATAATGGAACAGAAGCATTTATTCCATCCAATATTGTGTAAGACGGAAGGATAAACGGTCTACTAAATAACCGGGATTGGAGTGCGTTCACTTGTTCATAGTTGATACAGAGGATGTGAAATCGGGAGACGAATCGGGCAACTCGAATCCATACGGTCTCCTTTGTAATTTGGTCTCATCTTCACAGAACAGCATTGGGCTTTGCAGAGCGAATCATAATTGGTCTTTTTTGTTAAACTTCACACACAAAGGAGATTTTCCGTATGCCGCACAAAAGAGAAAGAGATAAATCACACATGATTCAATGAATTTTGTGCCGCTTTGGAAGTAAAAACATATAAATGCTAAACTAGTAGTCAGTTTGAGGTTGAAAAATCGGAAATTCTCCTTTTCTGGGTTATTATTTTGTTGATTGTTCTAGGTTTTGGCAAAACATGCGAAAATTTCGTTTTGCTAACTTAACTTGCTGACTCAATTATGATTTTCTGACCATATTTTGGGATGCACCATGCGTTTGTTGATTACTACCCATCGGTATGTTATATATTTGAATTCCGTTAGGGTTTGAAGGACTGACATTGAACAATGGATGCCTCATAATGCATGTTTCCCTACTGAATGATTTACATCGTACCTATATACTTTATTGTCAGCCTAACGACTATTCCCGCGTACAGTGGTTTCAGGGTGCCCCCGATAAAAGTACGGGCGACTCACTGCTTGTCAATACTTCCTTACCTGCATAACGGCAAACGTAGATAAGTCATTATAACTTCCACTTGCGTTTCAGCCAGTCATCCGTTTCTGTGAATAACCGAATGACATGACCTGTGGTACCACAAGCCTCACACTTATGTTCACATGAATAGACGTTGCAACTTTGCCCGCCCGAAATTCGGGTAGAAATTGGCACCTAATGGCACTGCAGGAATCAGCAAAAATATACAGCTCGTTTCCACCATATTTTCTGAATTTCTTGCTCTTTATATAGGTTTATGACGGAATTCCCGAAAACCTCAACCCATTAGAAACCAAATATCAAAAACCTCGCCACATATGGATTTCCGCTGGTTTCAAGCTTCCTTCTTGGTTGATGGAACAGAGACAAAGAGACGGAGGGGCAATTAGAAATCAAGATCAATGGTGGACTCATCTGATGAGCCAGAAGCGAGAATCTTTCGCGTTTTCTAAATCGTTCGAAGTTGGAATACGAAGAGCATGTGAGTTTCTTCCCTTTATTCGTGGTTATGACCACATAGGATGTACGTTTCTTCGGTAAGTCTGTTTATGAATCATTTGTTAGCTGATTATCCAAAATACTCTTATTGATCAGTCAGAGGGACGATCCATCATGTAAGGCGTTGTTGTCCCCAACTGAGTAAACACAACAGCCCTACTTCAATATGCCTCACGGTCCACTTGACGCTGAAGTTGCTACGGCGACAATGACACATGAATACTTCGGATGCATCTTGATGCATTACCCTATTGTTCATTGTCGACTGTGACGTTGTCATGGACAAAACGTTACCTTAACAGTTAGACCAGTGTTACTTTCCCCACCCATAGATTGTTGTTGTCCCATCTATCCGATTGTCTATCCCTACAGTTGGACACTGTGACGACGAACGCCTGACATGTGATCAAGGTTGTGATTCAGATGCACGCAACCGGATGTTTTGCTACCGGACCTGCAGAAGTGACGATAACAAATGCGGTAAGAGGCTAATGTCATGTTCTTCATTATTCTGTTTGACAGCAAGTGCTATTTGTTTACCATTTGCCTTTCTGTTAATGAGTTTCATGATGGGACAATATATTTGGGTTGTGACGTTTTCATGCTCGATATCGTTAGAAGCTGCTTGGCGAAACAATAAAATATGACACTGAATGATTGCAAAGATGGAGTTGAGTAAATTGGGAATTATTAATTTGTGACTAAATGCTTATTTAATGCGCGTAATAAGCCACTGAATGAATAAAAAGCGGTGTGCAGTAGTACTATGCACTTCTAACAACTTTTGATAAAGAACGTCATACCGAATGGAACTAAGCGCTCGATTAGATTCTCCAAAGTAAAATTACATACGATAAGCAATATTTGCTGGCTGGGTGAGCATTTTGAATGCTCAGAGCGATTCAACTGAAAGATGCACAAAACACTCCACGCAAGTAAATGTTTAGGAAATTCCACAAGGCCTAGTTAAATCGGAGGGCTATTTGACCACTTTGTAAACCTAGACTTTGCCGCTACAGTAAACGTTTTCAGTCCTGAGGAGCAACAAAGGGAAGAGTAAAGATATGGGATGAGCCTTCCCAAAAAACTTGTGGATTCGGGGTCCAACGACGTCGTGTCCACGAGAGGAAATGCCGTCATTTTGGATCATTCTTTTGATTCGCCACATAAAGATTGTTCCGACCAACAACCTACAACCAGGTTAAGAAAAATATTAGCAGTTTTAATAACACGTGACGTAAGTGCACTGGACAAAGCGCATAATTACTAATCGGTCTTATCCCGTTACCCTACTGAACTCAGAGTTGTTTACTGAGCAGTTCTTCAGTTAAACATTACTACTTGCACCAATCGCAAAATGAGATCAGAGGAAACTGGTTTTCTTCAAGAGTGTATGAAAAACCACCCATTACAACTAAGACTAGGGAATTGTGAACGTCAAATACAATAAAACCCGTAAATCCCCCCGGTTTGTCAACACCCCGCGAATCTGAAACAAACAGCAACGCCTCTCTGCATGCTGAACAAATTTTCATTGTCAGATTTTTTTCCTGCTATAAAACTAGCACAATCCAGAAGTTTGCATTGTCAAAAAATTTAATCAATGCTGAAAAGTTGAGGTTCACTGTACAATTTATAATGGAAGGAAATCCAAGTATCTCAGTTTGTCAGAATGGTCAATCACTTGCTTTCTAATGAAAGTACTATTTTGGCGGAAGTGTGTTTGTTGTGCAGGCATGGATTGACATAATGTCCACCAACCCGTGTTAAGATTGCCTGACCACTGTTCTTTACTATCGGTTTTCTCGTCGGGTGATATTGTCCATGTGCGGGTGGTCCTGAGTTGTAACCCATCCGGTCTCCTCAGTGTAGCCTTTGTTCTTTTACCTCAACAACGAGTTCAGTTTTTGAACGTTGATCTAATAGTCCAGCGTAACTCGGTCCCTGGCATTTAATCATGCGCGCATGGGGTTGATTACAATATCGGTTAATGGAGTTGGTTCCCGAGTACCGAGCTTCCACGAATTCCGTCTTATGCTACGATATCTACATTTTCTGGCTTAGACTCGCGCCCTCCATGAGTTTGCCATATATGAATTGGGAACAGTAGATTGCAAACTTTGGGAGCTGCGCTGTTTACTCATCCATAAAACAAGTTTTATTCCAGTGCGTCCAATGCAATACTTGCTGCAGCACATGCGGTCGAGTTGGTGCAATGTGTAGTTCCTCACACCTCTGTTGGTCTAGATCTTTTGGTTTTGAAATCAGTCTTTCAGTATGGCGACCGCTTTTCTGGTAAATAAAATTTCGTTTGGTTGTAGTAGCCTTACTGAGAACTCAAATCCGTTTGTGATGTACAAGGAGACAATCCGTCTAGTTCACCGATTTTTTGTCGATTTGGCGCTGAGAAGTTATTGTTCTCAAGATTATTTTGATGGAATTCCTCGGGTGTCCGTAGTTTTAAAAGACAGTGCCAGTAAATTCCTCGTTTCCGTCTATATTCGGCCATACTACAGAGCAATTTGAATGCATCTTTTCTTGTGGTTCTTAGAAAGGCTACTCTTGTAACTTATCATTTGATTCGTGTGCCTTTTTCCCACATACGTTTGAAGAAATTCTCCTGTGTTTCTGCACACCAGCTGGTCTAAAAATGGTATGCCATTATGTTCTTGATGTGGATTGTAAATCTGATATCTTCAAAATGTTTAGGCAGTTTATATGCACGTCTCCTCGTCCGTCACGAAGAGACTGGACTTTATCGTGGTCTGACGGTTTGCGCACCTCAGCGATCCATTGAGGTATACCGGAGAGTGTCTCGCGACACTCACAGAGTCTCTCATACCAGGTTGGTCAATGGTTAGAGGTCTGACAAACACAGTCTCCTGGCCCTCCAGGTTGGGGGTTGGAACATGTGGCGACTTGTTCCGTTGAAATGGTAATGCATTTGCATTTCCCGCCAAACACCACTGCCTTACGGTTAGACTTTTGGGCCAAAGGCTTTGGTTGGAGACCCTAATCGTCCTCCTGTCTAGGTGTGGGCGCCCTGGCAGTATCCCAGCCCACGTACAACCATGAATTACGGTAGTGAAGCATCGGTGTTGAACACTGATGTCATGCTGTCGATGATGATGATGATGTGACGTTTCCTCGCAGTTTGGTCCACCAGATCGGGAGAATCACCAGCATAACTTATCCCGATGCGCGCACACCGCGTACCATGCCGCAAAAGAGTCCTGAAATAATATCGCTCGAATACGACCGGCTAATCGATAATGTAAGAGAACCGTTTTGCCTAACGCGGAATCCCCAGACTTGGAGCTGGCTTACCCTATGGCATACAATTACCATTTGGTTCAGAAAACCGCTAAAATATCGTACAACGGCACTTTCTGCTCTACCAAAATTCCTACGACCTTGTCGGATAAGCGGATGACCAAGTATTGCCTGTCGAAATGATAAGTGATGTACACAATAAGGTACTCAGAAGCATATGGAGAAAGATGAAAACGTAGCATCGTTGTGTCTGAGCAAAGATCCGACATTTCTGTAAAATTACTGTTACACTTCCTCAAGTGAATTTATTTTTTTCTTTTATCCTGAAGCTATGCAAGTTAGAGTTTGAGTCTCCCGGATGATGTATATGAGATTTACTGTCAGTACTTACGTATTATCACCTAATCTTCATCGGTCATCCTCTTTTCTCCACCGCTACTATTAGGGTAAAACAAAAATGGTCTGAACTTGTGTAACTTCCAGAACGCAATGCATCCGTTTTCTGAGCAGGTGCGACATTTGACGGTTTATCGCCGCATTTTAAGACATCTCAATTGTCCCTTCTTCAGCAGCCAGCCCTCACATGACCGCCTAAGAAATGTATTTGCTAGCGTTTTTAGACATTAGCGTTCGGTTAGAATCCTTTCTTTACTTATATACATATTTCTTCAGGGTAATGGATGGCACTGGCCGCGAAAAGCTGCATACAATTCACTATTGACAATGAATTAGTCCTAGACGGATATTGGCAACAATTTGATTTGCATCGTAGGCCAGAGGTTCACCGCTTGATTTTTATTCCTGTGTTTCACCTAGACCACCGTCCTATGTATTTAAAAATCAGTAAATAAAAGAATGACCTTTAGTAAATTCGTGGTGACAGGGACGGGAAAACCGAACTCAACTCCAACAAGATCCACCATACTTCTTATACCAGGATTCTAGAAGTCAATTAAATACTGACAAAGATTGAGTTAGAAATCCTCGGCCTCCGTTTAATATATCTGATTTAGAACACGCCCATATTTCTGTCAGCTTAAAACTAAGCCACTTGACATCAATGGTCAGTTTTAATAATTTTGGCGCTTATGTTCGGATGATATACAAGTTATCACTGTTACTTACTGTCACGAGTCTGCGGTAGGATAAGAACTTTAAAGAATATAAATCAAAGAACTTCGAGTTTCATATTACTACGAACTGGCTACGCGAACGCCACATGAAACCAATAGAACTCTAAAGCTATATTTCCTATCTCGGTTAAATGAGAAATCAACGGATATACTAGCGTTTCGAGAGTATGAAGAAATTATAAAGCAGCGTGAGTGGCTTCCGTTCAATAAGGCTACAAGTTATCGGATTAGTTGTCATCCATAAATTTATTTAAGTCACTGCCATGTTCAATGGAGGCCGCTCCCCTTCCCCAGTTTCTCGAAATCCATCCCTGAGAAAACGACCTCACGTCTCCCATGATGTTTACTGACCTTTATCCAGAGACGTCTAGCCCGATAGGTGTTGCATTATCGGTAAAACTGAGCTTAGGTCAATTATTTGTCGCAAATTATGACACTAGCTTCTGTAGAGTTTCGTTTCGCTCGCTAATATTTTTAAGTGCCGTTCAAAGAAGTTGCTTGCTGGCATGATCGCATTCTAACATTTTTAGTTGACATTCCGTTCACTAAAAATTACGGCCCAAATGAAAACACCTTCAGTTAACCTGAAAAGGTACATTACTAATTAGTTATGTTCAGCAAACTACTCTCAAATTTGATCGTCCAAATGCTTACGCTGGCTTTAATAAGCTTTCTTAATTTAATCAGGATCTTTTTCGTATCCTAAAATTTGAATCCACTTGACACTGCCAAATTAACCCTTAATTACAGAAACAAACCCAGGTTCCAGAACTCAGTTTAAAAACACATTTCGTGCCATTTATCTGCCATGCAGAAAATTGATCATCGGTTCCAGAAAGTTGAGACATCCTAATGAGATTTAGCAGGTGACAGTCTACGCTGACCGGTCACGCAATCATCTGGGACTGGACGGAATCCGATCGCACCTGCGCAGGTGCACCACTTGAATTGTCAGCGTCACTCGTGCTAGAAAATTGACCAAGTCTTTGGGTAACTTGACTACACGGACTTGTATAAAAACAAACTATGTAGGATGGCTTAGAAACTAGGGAAATCTTTTCCAAGCCACTGTCGTTTATCTTAGAATTCGGGTGTTAGTATGCTCAAGTAAAACTACTAGACATAATCACTTCGTTGAAATAGCTGTGCGAACGTCACCCACTCATCAAGGTGAGTACTGACCCAGTGAATAAAGCACATCAAGAACACGGGTCTGCGAAAAGAAAGGAAAACATGAATTGAACAACATACAGATTTATTGAAACACAGCCAAGGAAGCCTTATTCCTCAAATGTTAACTTTGGACAAACCAAAACAGAAATCTCCAAGTGAAGGAAGATGTGACCCAGAAACACTGTTGTCCGTGCCTTATCAAATATGGCAAACGTGGAATATGAAAAGGGCCATTGTTGCTGTAACTAAAATGAATGTTTGAGAGGAACATTGCAATGCACTTCAGAGTCAGTCATCTCCGCCAGCCTTATTCTATTGCATTGGTCAATCCTCAGTTTCAGTGTGCATGCATTTGAGTGCAGGCATTTTGGCTATTTTCCCTTGTGTAGTGACCGTGTAGTGTGAGGACTCCTGAATCCTGTCTTTAAAACGACCTCCAAGATACCAAGCTGATATAATAATTCCGAAAGCCTGATTGTAGTTCACCTAATCAATAACCTAGCATTTTCAGGATTATAAGGTTTAACGCTAAAATGCTTACAAGGTTTATAAAAACGTCACAGTTCACTGCCGGTTCTGTCCTTGGAGTTATCAAGCAGGTATATTTCCCGATTTTTCATCAAACACATGCACCACTTGGACACAAACTTTACGCAAATGAGCTACTTTGAAAATAAGTGTTAGACGAGGATCGAACTGAATCCCAGGTAAACCCATCAGTTGTGAGACCTTAACTGAATATGCTGCACAAAGGCCACCTCATGTTACATTGAGATAGATAGTTGAGGTGTCTTGAACAAAGTCAAGCCCAAGCTAATTTACGAAAGAGTATTTTAATTCTTTTGCGCAAAATTTTGTTGTTTGTGGAGAATACAGAGCTGGTGGAAACCCGGGACGAAAGTTATCACACCGGAACCATTTCTCTGCCCATATCAGTGGACTCGGACTGTTGGATCAAACGCGTACTTCTCGTTTTTTGGCAGACTGGTGGTTGTTTTTGTTGTTGTTGCTGCTTCTGCTGCTGGCATTGTTTCTTAACACTTGCCAGCTACCTTTCTGCGTGCTTATTCAATCTACTTTCTTATTTAGATTCACCTCAGTGGGACTCATGTCAATTTGAATCCGCATATCAAGGCGACTGGGACTTGCTCGTTCGAACCACTTCCCGGAATGTTGGGTCAAATCAAGGATGGGACTCTGTTTCGCAGAGGCAGATGAGGCTATCGATATTTGGGAAACAAGTACGCCTTCTGCGATACAGCAAAACAAGCAATGAAAGTACGATTTTTCAATGTATTCGGAAAGTTGGTGAGACCATCAGCGACTGGTTTGTTATTCGCACAATCGATCAACACAACGGATGGTAAGTTCTCAGTTTTTTTCTTCTTTTTGGACAAATGTCACCTTATGTATTCCGGACGAGTTGAGTTAATCCGAGCTTGCTCTAAAGTAAAACATGTGTTAATTACTACATTTTTAAATGGACAGAAAATTGTCATTTTGATACATCTCTTTTACCCGGCAAATAACCTTAACTGGTTGTTGTGCATAAGTCACAATCTAGGTGCAGTTAACTTTCTCAATCCAAATGCACTCACCTTTTCTGTGAATGGCTGAATTTCCAAGTCATATGATTTTGATTCCTGTGAGTTTAGTTGCTGTAACGTTGCTGATGCTTATGTGTTCTAGTTAGCATATGATTATTAGTTTTTAATGTGGTTCCCAATGCATTATAAAGCGCATAATGGGCACGGCTTTTTGAGTGACACCCAGCTTTATTGCGTGGACGATCCGTAGTTCTTGGGGTGAATTACCAGCATCTCCCCCTGGAAACAGTAGTATATTGCACATCAATATGAAATACTGACCTAGAACAAAAGAACGCCTCCAAATTAGGCACGGTGGTTTCTATGCTTTGATGAGCAATCATTTCCGATCTTCTGACTTTGTGATATAAGTGGCACATATGTGCACATTACTAACTATATATTATCACAAGCTGTTGATTTGTCTCAGTAGCAAACGTACAGTGCACAAGCCTAGACCAGGCATTCAATGTGACAAAATAAAACTTTGAAACAAGAGAAACCAGTTGTTGCTGTGACAGAAATGTGAGGTTACCACAAACACAATGAGGATAAGGTCGCACCAACAGCATCGATGACTTTCAATAATACGAAGCTGGTCTACCTCTGAGTGCCATTATCGGCACAAAATCGGTGGGTAAAACTCTTGAGAACCAGCACAAACTGTATATTAATGTAATGACTTACGGCAAAAGAATAGTCAACATGCAAAATCTGGCATGGAACTTGATATCTCAAAAGGCACTCCCGTCAACGAAAACGTCCCAAAATCTAAGCCAGGTGATTTCTCACCCATCAGTTTATCCACTACACGTTATCCCCATAGTCTCATAGTGCATAAACACAATTTCCGCTTTTATCTTCACAAAGCCACACTGTTCCAAACTGGGTGGTTGTTGGTGTATTAGTGACATTTTCTAGCGGACGCATGGCAGTTTACAGCCTCAGCAAAATAAATCCAACCTTCTACACAGTACTCAATATTCTTCGGAAAAAAGTCTTTGATTATCAGATTATATTCTAAGACAATCGAAAATTTGTGTACCAACCCTTTGGGACAGTGTTTGTCCTCAGAAATCAAAACTCCAAGTGAAGGTTGTTGGCCAATTTATTGGTCAACGATTGGGACGCCCGAAGACCAACACATGTGTACATGTGCATGATTCTGCTGCAGCGAGCCATGCAGGAACCCACTCGAAAAATGCATGAACTGGAGCTAAAGCATGGCATCTATACTAGTTCTGTTCTCCTCATTCCAAATGGGCATTGAATTCACTTAAAACCACCCAGTGCCTCCCAATGTAACAGTGGTCACACCGGCAGTTTGGTCCACACACTTCCATTGTGTGAAAAGCTTACTCGGTTTGCGCGGAATATAAAGGTTTGAGCATTCTCTGCATTTGAACATAAGCGTGGTTGGTTTCATGCCTAAACAACTTTATCAAGAGCCGCATAGCCAAAAATCCTGAAAACAGCCAATAACTAATGTGTTTAAGGTGAAAACGCGTTTGCTGATACCCCTTAGGACTGACATACATATAAAAAAGGGATAAAATTAGTGCAAGCCGCTTTGAAAAGGGGCTGTAATGCAGCGTAAACCAGAGTGTTGTCATGTACACAAAATATCCCACTATTAGCATACGCAACACTTTTCCACAACTTCAACATAGCTTTCTATTATATGTGACCTGTCTGTGAGTTTTTTGGGAGGTGAGAAAATCCTTGTTACCAGTACACGGAGCTGCTTTCTACCTCAGCTAGCAGACTACGCTGACTGTGTCTCGCCGTCAACAATAAGCAGACTTCTTGAAAAACAATGATTTGATAAAATGAGTACACACATTTTTATTTCATTTGTGATATAATCAACAACTGACGCACGTTTTCCATTTTTCATCTACCCCGGACATACTTAACCTAAGCCGTTTATCTTGCCCTATATGAACTCTTCCTATGTGTATTTTACTCAAAAGTTATGGCCAACTTAAATACTGTTCACTTGACCCAATTAATTTTATGTTTTGACTCTTTCTAATATTTTTATCAAGTCAGTGTAACATTTTATTGGTGTTATTTCTTCCTGTTTACACGTGAGACAAACAACATTATCCGACAGAATCAAGTGGCTATGATTATGCTAAAAACTAGTTGTAACAAATCAGAATTTATATCGGAGTTCAATTAACGATACTGTGCTAGTGGCTGCACAATGAGAATTTTGTTACAGAGTCTGAATCTGCAAATATCTGTCCCAAATATTTCACTTGTGACTAAAGTGCCGGAGCTTATTGAGTAAACTTTATGAACATCATAAAAACACTGTTTGATACCATTTACGTGATCAAGCAGGTGGGTTACAATGGAAGTACCAATAGTACACCATGATCCTTTCGGAAGACGATGTGCTCACTCGTCCCTTTGATAACTCTCATTTTTTGACCAGTATTTCTCTCTTGATGAGGCAAATAAACTGCACCGAGATGGCCAAGCTGATAAACTTGACACTCAAAGTTTCTGTGATATGAGGGAAAGTGATGAAAACAACCCTTAGTTCGGCTTTTTTTATATGGCCTCTGAACTCTAAATTCACTGGCAGAGTCACTTGCCAAGCATACATGCAGCTGTTTAGAGGTGCACGCTGCTTAGTATGTTGATAGGTTTGTGTTTCAGACGGTCATCCACTGATCACTGCATACACATTTCCCTCGAATCGTGTCCATGAGAAAATCAAATTATTAAACTCTCCTGAGTATATAATGTAATAAATGTTTCAAGTTTTTCTTAACTGCCAATAAACCAAAGACAATGAAATGTGTATATTACCGGCCTAAGCGGAGTTGCGTCGAATTTGTTGCCGAATTCAGCCACCATTCAACGAAGTCTTCCTATCCCAAACGATATACAAAACAACATGCTGTAGATTTCTTGGACTTTTTTTAATTACTAGTTGAGTATGAGGGAGAGGGTGGATCAATGCGGTTTGTTGGTTTGTAGTAGAAATTTTGCATATATTCTCACCAGACATTTTACTGAGAAATGATAAGAAATCGGCCACTGCAAGCGGAGAGACCCCCTTGTTTTCAAAACTGTGAAATATTTCCTTTACTTTTTTAACAATAATGCAACCTGATTAAGGATGTATAACTGCAGTTTGGGTGTTTCCTACCGGTTCCAGTTATTAGAAACTCTGCTGTGAAAAACTGTATCGAATAAACCCGTAGTGTACATTTATATCTTACTCAAAACCATATAAAGGCAGCATAACTTTATCTGTCCATCAGTCTCGTCCTGAAAACAACGCACCAGATAACTTCCCTATCTGACGTTTATCGACCCACCCTGTGAGCGTTATTCAGGGTGTATTCTACAAAGTCAATCATCCTGACTGACGCCCGCTGTCTGAACTATATGCCCGAAATATCTAAGCTTGGGCAGTTAACAGCAGTTATTACTATTTCTCGACATCGCCGTTAACCAGATCACTCCAGAATATAGTGGTTCTTACATGATCACGTGAAATTTGGTCCGTCTATAACATGTTACCTAATGTGGAAAAATGTTTAGCCATTGAATTTAGAGTCACTTTAAAGTGTACCCATTAGCAGAAGCCTCGCGTTATAAGAAACTCTATCATTTCGACTATCAGTCAACGTTTCATGATAGATGCTGATGATTCAGGAATACATGTCACCGCTAACTAATTACATGTTGCTTACGGTGGAAAGTGACTCATCAATTATAACCAACCTTCAAAAACAGAAACTCGTATAATATTAGTTTGTTTTCCATTTCATTTTTGTAATTTCTCTGTAAATAAAAGCAGGTTCCTGGAGTCATGTGAATAAGTGATATAATTTTTTTCGTGAATAGTGGGCCAGGTTCTTTTCACCATCACATAATAGTTTGCAATCCTGAATACACTTAGATTTCAGTGGCTTGCTTCAGAGTGAAGAGATTACTAATGGTCAATCAGTCATCCTAAAAAGTGTTAGCTCACTGGCTCAGAAAGCCGGTATCGATCGATGCTATTCGGTACACTTATAACGATGTGAATAGTTTTATTTCACGGCAGCGATTCACAAGTACCTAGTTTGAGATGAGCTCAGTTAAAAGTTGGGTATATTTTTAAATCACTTTACTTGCTTCACTTCACCCGTAAAACAAGTAGACGGATTACAAAGGAATTCGCTTAGTTTGTGATCACTGGAACAAAATTCCTTCTGAGGTCGATCAACAGCAGTATTTGGCAAGTTTTTTTTTGGGAAAGATGTTTTGGTTTCCGGATCGGTAAACGCCGATAAGAAGATTGATGGTATAGAGTCGTGGTAGTTATATATCCGTTATATGCGGGTAAGCACTATTTATTTGCATATTGAATATGTGGTCTTGTTACATCCATTTTACTCGTATTTGTATATGGATGGTAATTCATATACTACATTTACAAACCGCAATAATTCCAATAGCGTAGATGCCAATGTTAAGTTGCATTCACCGTTATCCATAATATGACTTGTTCAGTGCTAAGTCAAATAAATTTTCGGCAGCAGTCTATTGCCCGATACGAACTGACTGACGCTCATAAGGTATGAGTATTTCCTGGGTTTCCCCACCATTTGTTTGCATAAGTCATACTGCGTTTGTTTGTGTATTGCACTTACAATTTTTATGTATTTCACACTAGTGTGGACAGGAGATTCAGAGTAATTCTTGCAGAATCTCCTGTGTATGCTGTTCTTCAGTCTAACTTGTTGGGCAAACGCTGTAAGCAGACCAATATTTAAGTCATCGTAGAACTGTAAGGTAGAAGCTATCACAATCCGAGGTGAATACATCTGTCGGTCAGTAGAGACGGAAGGTTCATTTAAGGAATGTTTGAATATGCTTCTTACTTTAACTTGATATGGTACTGGACCGTAAATTCATGCACAATGTAACCTCGACCAAACTAAGATAAAAACAATGACTAGAAATATGAAACGATGTCTATGTGGTAATTTCATTGCAAGCTGTCAATAGGCATCACTCGAGCGCACAATAATACTAACGAAAACAAACTGAAAGTGTTCATGTTGACCCGACAAAACTCAAGCAAGCCTGAGTACCGTACAGCCAAATGTGGCCAAGACTGGATTCAAAATTTACTTGCATCTGATTCTGATTCTTTTGAACCTTTCGTTCTCACAGGAGGCTTCGTCCAAATATATTATGCGTGCATCAAGCCGTATTGTATTCTTGGATTCCTGTATTTTGACTTTGAAAATCGCTTAGTTCTTGTACGGTTAACACTGTGTATTAAAACTTAAAAGCCGCCCTTACCCTACTTCCCAACAGTCGCCCACGTGATTTGTGCCTGGAATTATATCAAAGTGGACTCAAGCGCTCCATAGCGGATCGGGACACGAACACAATGTTGTACCGTTTATGTGAGTTTTTCGAAAAAATTTTCGCAGCTCGGTGCCTGGTTATCGATACAGTCTATACCGCTTTCAATCCACGGACAAAGCCTTTGCCGTAAGCGATTTGTTTCGCTTGCAAAGACGCATATTTCAGTTTATGTGTTCAGCCAGACAAACTGTTAGATTCTGAAACCATATTATGATTTCTTATTTCTAAAACAGCCATTGATTGAGTTATTTTATATCCATGTCGATTTGTTGAAAAGTTGCTTTGCATTGAAGTCCGACTGAAGGTATCGCTTTTCGGCATACGTTCAAACAGATTGTTATTTAAATAGCAAAACTGAGAAGAAATCAAAATGTGACTTGAAACTAAAGTGAAAACAGATTAGGACTTTATAGAGTCTAATGCATGTGATAGAATGTGTGACGTGGAAGAAGTTTAGTCACTGTTCAACTCACCGTCACATGTAGTAAACGTAATTATCAGTCAACGGCTTCTGCTCAGCAGTTCAGACTTTTTACTACATGTTTGCGGACTGCTTGAGACTCTCAGTTGAAGATAATGCATTAACTTTTGCCTGGTTTTAAAAGTACGAGTTGATCCTAAACTGGCAACTGAATGCAACTGCAACAAAATCGGTTTCAAACCCTGGTTACACGGGATACGTGAACCACTCGGGCATAACCCTGGCTTGAATAAATGCATGCAGGCTGACAAATACTGGTGTGCACATACAGGTAGAGATTGCCTTTGTGTACAGTCCACTGACACTATCCATGGAAACTGTTAAAAGTCCCTAATAAGCCAACAGCGGCAGGTTTGGTTCCATACCACAGTAATGTATAACAATAAAATACAGAGTCAGTGAAACCGAGTTAAACTAGCTCGATAGTCAAGCTTGAATAAAAAGCACACCGGCTCTCCTCATGATTGCATCATCTCAGAACTTGTGATATTTGGCTGAACTGCAACAAGCGTCGTGGACCTCACGCTTGTGTATAAACTATGCTTCTTCGTAAAAATGTTAGTAATCAGGCTCATTCTCAGTAATAAAAATTCACGCTGGTTGAAACCAGCCGTGACAAACTAAGCTGTAAACTAACAGACTCTACGGCTTCCGACTTCTCACCACTGGCAAGAATAACATTTTTTATCCAATTCTGGCATTTCTGGTACTTTTCCCTGTCTTTCCATGGCAAATCCGCGAAACTGACAACAATTAGTCCTCCTAAAACAGGGACTGTGCTTACCACGAACAACGCAGGGGGCCATGCTGGTGCACGTCGCTCGGCTGAGGTTTTAAGGTGACATGGGATAAAAGAACCCGCATTTAAATTAAAATACACAAATATTGGTAGGGAAAATGTAGAGTTTGATTACTACTCGCTTTCTTTTCGTTGAATTTCAATGCAGCTAATAGCAAGGCGCCGGATTAATACAAAATGAGATGAAAATTTGGGTTACTAAAACTGCTGGGCATGATACTGATGTGTTCTAATCATCCCCGTGACTGCATGAAGCAAGCTTGTAGCATACAGGCTCTATTTACTCTACCATCTAAACACAACCTCAAAGTCATCCAGCATTGGTCCTTCTGTCATGCATTGCTAGACCGCGAACATTGGCCTATCTACTCTAGAAACACTCGCTGCCATTTTCTAGATCACTGGCCAAACGCTACCAAGTAACAAAAGCTTTAAACTCCAATGTTTAGCTCCACACACATACTGGGTGTGTGCGGATTTCACGTTTCAAGAGTTAGAATAATTCCATCTAGTTCACGCCTATTCCCACTGGGAGCAGCGTATTGCTTCTCGTGAAAGTCACAGAAAATTCATTGTGATTCTCTGCAGATGAGGTGCAGTAACAGGACGCTTGGCAAGCTTTCCAGTGAAGAAAATGACAGAGTTATGCAACAGACAGTGTATATTTTCCTTAAAACGTGTATTTTCAAAAAGACTCAGTTTTTCATTTCAGAAAGTTCAAACTTGTAAATTGCAGGGGCAAAAAAGGATATTTCACTTAAAACGGATTGGAGTGTAATGACAGACTGACTAACAAAGTTTATCTAACATTGCATTTCAAAGACCCGTGTAAAACTCACCCGCGGACTCCGCTTCCCTCTTATTCATAGACCACAATTTATGTTCACCATTTGTCCTATGTGGAAACCCCACCCAATCACGTTTTTCCCCATTTCGATTATGCCCGATCGACGGAACATTCCGCACTGTACCGTGCGCTAGCGGGCTGTTTGAGAAATTTTCTTTTTGGCCGTCTGGTTCCTGCAAAGGTTTTGTCACTTTAGTTCAGATCTTTAGAGTCAGGATTTAAAGCCAGCAATTTCGCTAACAACAAGAAACATAATTTAGACGTCCGTGTGAGACAGAGATTGAGCAAAAACACTAGTCTAACAAAAACACCCGATTTTTTAGTTTGTGCATTGCCCCAGGTAATCTCCCTTTATAGAAATATTTAACAATGCCTCAAACAAAGGCCTGCTTTTCCATTGCAAAATCCGGGTTCCGAACCTCTTTTTCTGTTCGTGGATTAGTTACATTACAACCCTACACAGCGCCGATACTTTCGACGCCAGTGTATTCAAATCCGGGAAGGTGACTCGCAAATTTCCGAAAAAATCATGCTTATCGCAATTCTAGGCCAGGAGATATCGCTAGTTTAACCTATCCCGTAAATCCCGAGGAAAGAATGCCAAGGAGTTGTAAAAAGCTGTATTAGCAGACAACACACTCTTTTTCCTCGAATTGTGCATCATCTTATTATTATTTTCCCAGCTTCGAGCCAACAACAAGGAACGGATGCAATGGCATTGTGCAGATTTGAATCAAGGTCGAGGCATAAACAGAACATCATGGTCCCATCAAAGCTGCTTGTAAAAAAAACAGGATTACAACGTGAGCTTCGAGTTGTTTTAAAATTTCACACTTTCAGAGTAGAGAGTTGCCTTCTCAATCGATTGATCCCTTGAATAATCACAGCGTTATCTTGGTCAACCTGTTGATATAGATATTATTAGGTACCACATGCATTTATGCCCACATGTTCTGGGTGCAGCCACAGAATACAGCAGGTATATTAACCTGAAACCGATGTTAAATGGAATTTGTAGTTAACAGACGGGTCTTTATGATTAATCATTCAATTATTTCATTAATAGGTCCTGTTGTTTTGTTCTTAATTGCTTCACCTTGATGAGAAATATTCAAAGACCTGGTGGGAAAATTCTGGGTAAAAAGCGTGGAACACATGTAGGCACTGTGGTGGAGTGCGCCAGATCGTCAGGAAGAACTGAGTTACACACGTATAGTTGACCGTTTCCGTGCTAGTACAGCAAACAAAACTTGGTCATACTAATAGGTATGCTACGTTATCTGAAAAAATGCATTTCGTTCAAAAATATTTCCAGAGGTTTTTATGTGACAACTGTACGCAAGCGTTGGAAGCATTGGCCATATAATCCCCAGGTGGTTTCGCAAATTACCGTCGACTAGTTCACTGATGCTGGCCAGTAACTTGCGGACGTTTAACTGAAATCAGGAAGGCACCATCAATGCACTGTTGGATGGGTACTCACTTTCATCATGCTTGCATTTATAGACTTCTGAAAGAACAACTTTGTACGCAAAACCAGTTGGCTATGTGCCCATCATAGTACTCTGTCTTTCTGCTGTCTGTCTTCTACATTTTTGATGGAACATTTAGGAACAAAGATAGTCAGTTGCTCAACAGAGTTATACCGCCGTGGGTGAAACGATACGCGAACCATCAAACCATCGTGCGTCCGGCGCGGCCTGGTCTGACCAACTCATGGGCTACAACTGCTAGAATGGAAGCATTCTGGTCGCACAGAATTTGCAGGCCCGATTACTGGTTCTGCTCTAGTAAAATGATGCTAACCAGTGCAAAAAGAGTAAAGACGAGAGTCTCTCCTGCCAGTGAATTTAACCTAGTGTCTTGGTGACAGGGTTGCAAGAAATTGGAACATCCAGTGATGAATCCCTTTACGAGTTGATGAAGTATTTTTTTCTTTGCAGACGTGACGGCCTGCAGTTAGATGGGTAGGAGCTACTGTAATAGGTATTGACATTATTAAATTCTTCCATCGAGTTCGCGGATACCACCACCCAGAATTGAGTAGATAAGTACCGAGTACCTAAGTACTTTTCATATACGCACTGATATCGTAGGTATGTCTTGACCAATAGCGTAGGTCAGAGTAATTAAACTGAAGGCACGCAATGAGTTTTTACTGAGTTGCAATGTAGTTGTACATGTCGTGTTGCCAGTTCAGCATGACGGGGTCTGAACCTTTACATGAGTCATATCAGTCCCCCTACTTATACTGACTGTAAGCGAATGCCTTGACGTCAGGAAATCCAGCTTTTTCAAGCATATAAAACACAGGATGCTTTATTTTTCAGAGATACTCATTAGGGCAGGAGGAGAACTTAGCGTAAGAATGAACCACCACAAGGTATTTGGCTTCCCTCGGGGGGAGAAACCCCTCCCACAGGAGGGAGTACATCAACCAATGGCTAACCAAAACAATCCATGATAATGTCTCCACTTTCGAAGAAGCCTCTCTTTGGGAAAACTGTCGGTGCAGGCTGTACTGGGTCGTTAGTTGTTCAGTGCATTTGATTGCTTCACCAGATGTTTGTAGATAGTAAATTCATCCGCATCTTTTAGAATGCTTCAATCATCACCAACAACAGACTTTTTAACCTTTTTTAACCTTTCTAACACCAACTTCAGGAAAAAGCATTGTCTGGTTATCATAGAGTTGAAGGATTAGCCGCAAATTTCTTTGAACTGGAGACTAAATAGCCTATCAGAAATTTTGTCTCTTACCGGTGATTGTTTTTTGTGACTTTCCTGTTTTGCCCTCATTGACAAATTTTAAGTTTGTTCTTTTTCTGCCATTCCATCTAAATACACAGAACCATTACAACCTGGTTACATACGCACGGTAAAGTGCGGTTTGTATCAAATGCGTCTTTCTGGAACGATGCTTGTTAATGCAGAGGAATTACTCTTGCTGACGGGAAATACAACGTATATGACCAAGGTTTCGGAACCCCCGTATCGTCTGTCCCAACAGAAGGAATGGCAACAACGGATGCCACACTTCCAGTCAAAGTCTTTTCAAAACATGGAGCCAGCAGACCAACCAACTTCTTCTCATTCCTACAATCGACACCCACGACAGCCCAGGCCAGTGGAAATCAACCAGAGCTACATGCAGCACCACTTTCGGAAACCTGTACACTGCACCGTAGCACTAACCGATTTTAATCGCTCATTCGGTGTCACGGGCGAGTTTGACGACCTATTGAGGATACATAGCACATGTTCTGAAGATGCGGCTAGTTTTCTGTTAAACAGAAGTAAGTGGTATATATTTTATCGCTGGAATTGTGTATTTATTACAAAACCTGGCGTGGTGGATACGTCTTCTGTTTGACGGGTATTATTTAACAAATATTTGACAGGCTTTTAACAACCCTCAAATAGACTTACGGTCGTTTATGTAAGTTGATCCCAACAGCTACCATCCACAATACAAAAGTTTGGGCTATTTGCCAACCCTGGGATATTCAGTTAGAAACTTCGCAACAGATTTTTCGCGTTTTGTGACAGAAGATTCACTATAAACCAAGCGTTTTACAAGGCGCAATGTCCTTTGAAATCTACAAATTTATTGTTCATGATTGCAGTGCCTAACCTGAAAATCGAAGTACAGTATGCGTGAGCGGGTTCCAGAAAAACGTTGGGGGATGAGGTAGTCTGCAGGGATGAAATACTACTGATTTCTGAACTGGGCTCGTCTATCCTTCCATGAGCTGGGAGTTAGAACATACTCTGGTTGGCAGTGCACATGTGAACAGCACATAAAATACGAAGAGCTGATTTGCCGCTGAGGTAAACAATAGGATTCAATGAATCTTGCCGTTGACTAGGTTCATCTTTTTAACGATCTTAGCAACTGGTTTTCAAAGGTTTCGTCCCCAATCAAAAAGATATGGTCAGTACACGGTCGACACCCTACCGAGGATAATGCGGGTATCTGTCTAGCAACGTTTCTAATTTTTTCTAGGAATCGGCGGCCGTTCCCAAGACAGGATTAGACAAGGAAGGCCTTTTTAAGATACGTATGAACGGCTCACACACATGGTCAATCTAGCAGTATACAAATGTATTCCGTGCAGCCCTATCCAGAAAGATTCCTTGGGTTTTATTGTGCGTCTTCTGAAAGCACATCTTCAACTGTACATCTAGAGCGGACTGGCAAGAAAGCCAACGCTAAATTTTTGCTGTTACACAACTATTATGGTTTCGGTACATGCATACGTCATAAGACGGCCAAAAATACGCACACCTATCCCTTGGATTCATTTCTCAACCTATATAGGTTACTCAATTGAATAAACACAAAAAATCAGACACTAAAACCAACCGAAATAGCCATCTTACCGTGATATTGCTATTAATGATATTTAAGTGACAATATTTACTGTAGAATGAAGTAAAGGAGTCCTTTTAGAAGTTAAAAGTTTGGTGCATCGAGGAATCTGGTTGCTTGCAACAACGGTTGACGGTTAGATATTGGCGGTAAAACTGAACAATTTGAGAGTTTTCGTTTGAACATAAACACCGCCCAAACAAATTACAATAGCCTAACGCACATAGCTGGCAACTGGCATTCTATGGACTGGTCACGTGCTTCTGGGGAGTGGCTCAGAAAACTCAGTCCACATTTATAATGTTAGCGTTTTTGACGAAGTGCGAATTGGTGCCGCCTGATCCGGACTGACACTTCTTACAATTAAGCGAAGATTATATTTCTAGATTGGTTTCATACGTATCGTTGACTAATGCCTCACCGTGGCGTTGCAAAGAATCAAAATCATTGATTTGTGACTATTAGGTAAATCTGTCACACAAAAGGAAAAACGTTACTCAATTTGGAAGTAAGTGGTAGAAAATCCTCTCATAAAATACCATCCTGGAGGTCTTCGAGGAGATCCTTACGTCGCCACCGTCAAAGGCTGTGACCATGGGATCTTCATCTTTATCCTGGTGACGGCATCAAACGAAGGAAAGGTCTCTGCTGTGGAAAACACCAACTGAACAGTTACAGAATATTGTACAGGAAAGCAAAACTCTCGCATGCATCTTGTTTATAAAAAATGGGTATCCGTCTTCTTCTTAAACGCGTCTTTCTGAACTTTTCTGGATATTCATTGGCTATCACTTAAATGTATGCGAATGATGCAAATCGTTTCCGCAAAGTCCGTAATAAATCCCACTTTCCGATAGGCGCAAAGCAAAGCTACGAGAAAACATATTACCCTCATGCCTCACCAGTAGTAGCCACCGTTACACCTGTAGCGTCTACCACGAGCTAGCTCAACTAAGACATGTCCCCATTGTTCCAAAAATAACACTCGTTCTTTGTCACCTCAACAGTGCGTTGGAGCCCTTAAGTTCATTAACACAAAAAATGGATATTTACTGAGCGCTAGATGTTTATTTTTTTGTCATACTCGGTCCTGAAAACAATTGGTCGTCAGATTTCGCCCATATACGTGATGTTACATCATTCAAACTGGTTTGTCTAGCAATCATCCGTGGGAAAGCTATGACTTCCACTAAATTTCGTTAAGGACGCCCCATCTATCCCGAAGCTTTATAGCAAACAACACTAAGATATATTAAATATGACTGATAAAGCACCTTGTAGCATCATTGTTTGGTACAAATTTGACCACCGTTTTGCACGATACTATTTCATCGTCACAAGCTTCATCAATTTGTCTCTTTCTGCATGTAGTCCTATTTGCGCTTTTAGACATGACCAGGATTTCCAATTGGCTTGGATTTCACTAATTGGCTGCTCCGATTCGCTTGATTTGCAAACTGTAGACCTCTATGCGTGATGCGGAAATCTTCTCGTTAGAGAAATTATGGGCATTGCTTACTATGACGCTGTGCTGCAATGCTCCCAGCCAATCCAAAACATCATCCAGTTTCCAGATTTTACTAGGGTTTTATAGCTTAGAGACTTCTGGCCCAGTGTCTTGCTCCCGTCAATCGAATGTCCAGTGAACACCTTTTTACATTTAAAGTTTGACTAAAACATTTCAAACGGCAACATGCAATGCGCTGTGTTATACTTCACTGGCCTGATAAAAAGATACTGTTCCCATATCTTTGAGTCAATGCGGCTTCAGAATGATTGATCTGCAGTATAAAATTAACAATATCGATCAAAAAACCAAGTTACAGTAGCCTGAACTTTCTTTTCAAACATTTTGAGCTTTTAAATAAACTCGACAAATGCTAAATAGCTATTTGGACCTTTTTTTACGAAGGCCATGTCAAGTAAGTAGGATCTGAAGACCTTATCCAGATATGAATACTGATTATCTACTTAAGTCATTTGGAATTGCATTTTGTGTACCTGATTTGTTTTGCGAAAACACAAGCCGAGAAAGCAGCTAACCAACATGGCTCTGTGTGGCGTGGAAGAATACGTGTACCGGTCACGGATTCCCACTTAGAAGGTCGCATCAAGCACCAACTCATCTACCAATACTTATCGTTGATGCCAATCATGTCATAAAAAACGGGATGAGAACGCCTCATACATTCATTATGAATAATTTTCAGAGCGTCACGTAAAAATAATACATGACTTGCTTTGGACTGTTCAGCAAACGGCTATCTCACAATTGAAGACAAACGTCAGTCAGCTCTTAGCCGTTTGTTTTGTATCTCAACAGACGTGCTCTAGCCTATTACGGTAAAGTTCAGTCAGCGGAAACCTCCTTGAGTATCTTGTCTATTAATAGTAGGTGTTCATATTGCAGCAAACGCCCCTAAGTGAGTAAGTGGCCTCCATTAGGTTCAAGTTAGCTGGTTTAACAGCGTAAGATACGGCCACTCCAAGCAGACTGAAGCGCTTGTCTTTGTATGGAAAGAAAACTGAAATATAAAGCTGTCTACTGCCAAAATTTAGCTCTATTCAAGTTTATTTAATTTATTAGTTTAATTAGTATAATAAGGTGTCCCATATTCATCTTTTTCTACTAAACAAAAATAATGCAATGCTGCTTGACGAGTTATTTTTGGTGAACCTGAAAAACATGCATTGGGCATTTCAGTAAACAAATGACGAAGTTAATTAACGTAACTTCACCACGATTGTATCGCAGTAGTTATCTACTTGAAATTTGATGTCGATTGATATCATCGAAAAACCTTTCTAAACACCTTGTTTTGTGTTCGAATGACATTTTCGAAACCAATAGTACTGCTGGCGTAAATACCCTAGAAAACAGGTTGGAGCACCACATGGCGTAGGATGATCCCACCAACTATTATCGGTTATGATGGTGAATATTAACTCTTGCCATTGTTTGTTTTTCGTTCGGGTTTAAACATATGGTACAGGGATGCCCACTTGTCCCGGAAGATAGGTATCTGATAAACACCGTCCAAAGGCTTCACAGTGATGCGTACTTGGAACTCTTGCTAAGACAGGAGTACTACACTGTGTTTTGCTGTTAACGACAACCCTACAAGACTAGCGTCTCTTTCACTGAGTGCATCGCTCATCAGAAATTTTTTTGCTTCTATGCTTTTTCGAAGAGGAAAAATTTTGTACGAGAGATATTGTGGTGCACCAAGGGTGTCACCTTGTCTTGCAAGTGCCATACTGCAAAAACAGATTTCCACGTTTACTGATAAATATTCATTATTTTATTATGAATAAACTGCGGTAGTGAATTAAAAGCTGTGCTATCCCTGGTAATTTATAATATGGCTCTTGATCTGTTCTCTCAGTCTGGAAATTGACTCACACATGTTCCGCTGCCATCCGAAGAGATATAATGAGTACTCTGTTGTGAGGTCTAGTTTCGTTCGTGGGGTGCTTCCAAAATACATAGTTTAGCTAACTAAACGTTAATAAGAGAATATCACCTATAAGCGTGACACACTGCTTATAAGGTTGCTGAAGATTCTTCGACAGCACACAACCGTTTCCAGGTTCGTTTCCGGTGGAAACCAACTCAGTTTACAAACGAGTGTGTTCGTACGATTATTTTCCATTCGGATCAAGCAGAGACCTGCGTACGTGTTTTTATTTAAATTGGGGTGGCGTAAGTGGATGAAAGAATCTTCCGTTATACACACCTGTTTACACTTAAGGTCTTACCGACTGAGTAGCACAAATCACTACCCTTATATACTAAGGTGACAATATGACCTCAATAAATTAGAGACCGGCTAACGAGACAGAAGAATCAAGTAACCTTAAAATGTTCATCCACTTATGTTCACAATAAATTACCTTTCAGACATGACAGATATGACAGAAATACTAATGCAAAAAAGTGATTTAACCAATCTTTTCTTTTTACAGAATTGGGATAAAATAGTAAAGCAAACATGCTCAGCCTTCAATCACACAGATCAGCAAAAAGACAAAATATGATTGAATGCAACGTAATTACTCAAAATAAATTGGCTGAACCACCGTGTGTCTCGCAGATATTGTTATATCTTCTGATTCGCCAGTCTGTTGCATCTGACTGCTGACCTCGCTTCAGTGTTTAGTGTCGAAGAAAAAAGACTCACAGCAGGGGACACAACAGCTATATTCCGAACAAGCAAGTGCGAGAGCGCGAGTGCGTGCGAGTGCGAAAATTCAATGACCTAAAGCTGTTCGTTGGAGGGACAACACTGTCCGAACTTGGTCCAATGCTGAGGCACACGGTCTGGCTTTGGTACGAGGCTGTGACGCGCTGCATGTTGCGTCTGGTCAGCATCTGGCGGAGCTAACGGTCTCAGTAGATTTTGGGCATTCAGTGGTTGCTTTCAGGAATCAGACCTTCCTGATAGGTATTACTTACATTCTGTAGGAAACTGCTCTGAAGAACCTCATTCCCATGATTTATAGACCATTGTGCTTAAACCAATGCAGCTGACTCATCTACTAAGTTATTGAAGAAATAACACATCCATTGCATCTACTACTGCCTGTTCCAGGGCAGAAAATCTTGCCTCTGCCTAGTACTCTGGATGAATTATTTTCCTCAACATACCTGAATGCACCTTACACCATAACTGAAAACTTCCTCATAAATCCATTTGAAAACGCACGCATGCATCCTCTTTTGTCCTCCAACAGCTGAGGAGCCAAGTGATCACCTTCGACGAACATGGGTTGAGCTTCAAGCTGCCAGATTGCCCGCAACAGACTCTAAGTTCACTCTTAGCTTCATGCTGTCTTATTCTTAGACAGCACCGCAATGGACAAGCTGACAGTTTCCGTTTAATGTCTCATTTTTGTCTTGCAAATTTCTTTTTTGAGCTGTACATAAGAGAATAAGCTTATTTTGTTTATTGCTGATAACAGTATGCAAACTGGTCGATGGTTTCTTTGCTGAGTTGAGCAATTCGATTGCAAAAGTTTTATCATCAATCGAGGTGACATCACCAGGGAGCATAGTAGTGCGTAGCGATGGGTCGGTGGTTGTGCGTTGAGTAGTGTTACCTGTGTGTTAATATACGTGCTGCTATCCGGGGCTAACCTTCGATCACGGTTAGTTGTCCGGTCGGGCGGTTCCATCGGTTGCTCTGTTGCCCACGTGACCTCTAAGCTTGGCGTCCCCTACCCTCGAACTCTGGTCGATGCTGGAGTGACCCCTGTTCTTGAGCCTTCCGAGTTCCGGCTTGTGACCTTTATTGATTTGACTCCAAGGCGTTCCTTGTTTCCTTGTTTGTGAATCCGATATTTGGTTCTCCTTGAGGATTCCGGTTGAGACTTTGGTCCTTTGTGCGTGGTGGTGGGTAAATTAAGTCCTGCTCGATGCAATGGTTGATCGAGTCCCTCATGGAGTATGATACATCAAGAAATTCCCTTCCGTGCCTCGTGTCTCCGTGTGCCAAAACATTTGCATTTTCCATGCTGAATTTGTGGCTCTCTTAGTCTTCGTGTATGGATATTAAGGGGTTCATGTCTCCTGACAGCCGCATTGTGTGCGTAAATTCTTCTCGATTTGTCTAACGTAAAATTCGCAAGGTACCTTTGATTTATATTGCTCCAATTGCTCTTCAGGTGAGACTACTGAATTCAATGATAGTTCCCTTCATAAGGTCACATAAATATCTTGTCTTTCATCCCAGGTCACCAATGTATTTCTTCCTACAAGCTTGACCACACCATTTCTGAAGAAATCAGTTATCGGATGATAGTGACCTACAACCCGGTGCTCAGCGATTACTTGTGTTGGGTAAGTTATTTCTAGAGTAGCCGAGTGGAAACATTACCATTTGGTTTTATGAGTAACGAACGGCTAAATGCAAGGTCTTTATGTCACATAAAGCCAACCACAAGGTGGTCCGTGGACAAAACTTGTATGTTACAAGAGGATGATAATCAAGCACTTCGATGGGGCTCGAAATTCAAAGAAGGATTAGAAATAAGCGGAGAGTAGAAATGTTTCTACTATCGACTTGAAAGACGATATCCCCGTAAACCGCGCCCAGCAATCAGCACCATTTATGCTTCTAGATTTTAAACTGGTAATTTGTGCTCTGTAATCACATCACAGTATCCCTTTGTTCATTGTGCTGAAATTTAGAGTTTCATTCCAATTCGCCGTTGTACTGTGAAGTAATTGGGCAGTGTACTTATAAAACACATCGTTGCGCATTGCTCTGAGTATATCCAGATGGATTTCGTTTCAAGCTGTAATCTGACTTACACCATTTTAAAATGTGCAACATCGTAAGCAATGGGCGCAAAAAAACGCGATATTCAGTTGGGTCTCTCGTGGAACCCGAACTGATATCCAAATGAGTGTATTTGTTGTAAAATAATTTTTGTTAGCGTTTTTAATTTCTCCGACACGAACATTTTCTGTGTTATCCTCCTCGGTCTTTCATCAAATGATCTTTCACCAATTAAATCCACGTTTATCTAGATTTTCAAAGTGGGCACCGGACCGGACCGGAAACAGTGGGTGGTTTTTGTTTTCGCATCTCCGCAGTGTCAATACAGTCAAACAGTGACGGGCAATATTCTGGTCATGGATGAACAAGCTCTGGCCAAAATGGATCTGAAAATTGGTACGTTTCGCAATTGCCATTCCAAATAGTCCCTCAAATGCAGTTTCCTACGTTTTGTTTTGTCATTTTGACAATACCACTTAAAACAATGTTACAATGATACAAGAACAATAGATGGATTTGCTCCTCTGGAGAAATGAATCGGTATTCGTGACTAAAGTTGGCTTTTTAGCTTTTGGTGTGATATCCTAAGCTATAGCAGAAAATTTATACGACAGGCAAATAAAATTACCAGTTTTCTTTCAAAGCAAACTTTTGTCCGCGGGTGGTAATGACCAAATTCTTTCTCCTCATGGTCTTGGTTAAACAACGTCGTTAAAGCTAAAAATTAGAAGGTGGGTAAACTTCTGCCAAACACAGTTGGTTGGCACCTTTTTGAACAAAAATAATGAAAGATCACCTAATGATATATTCTCACAACAACTTCAAAGTTTTATTTGTATATTGGAGCACAAGCAATGTGTTATCGGTAAGGTCTACGTTTTGTGACCAAATTTCTTCCTTGTCAGGGTAAAACTTTTGATCTCTTCTTCACCTGGACTAGTATAAATTCACCATAATTACAGCAGCCCCCTCACAGCAAACCCCAAAACCGGTTTCTTTAGAAAGTTGTCTTTTCTAGAGTGGGATGTTATTTTGTCCGAACTCTTCCCCTGTTTCATCACTGCTGGCACTTCTGGTCTGGCGATCAACAGGGTTGTCACGACCTTTGAAATGCAGATTGTTTTTTATCAGCCAGCATACTACTTTTGCTTTGAAAACTCCTGCAAGTCGTACGGACTTTTATTGACATCTTAAGATACTATGGAGATGGAATATCCATTTGTTATCAAACATTATCCTCATGTTTCTTACTAAATAGCTGAAATTTAATGGAAATGCAATAGTCGGCACTTAGTGGAGGTGGCGTTCTGTCACAAGAACTGCTGTTGTCCTGCTAGCTGAACCGCACACAAAGGGATAAAAAACGTTAGCGAGAATCTTAACCAGAGTCTATATTTAGCGTTAATTCGGGCACCGATGCGTGTTTCACGCAGATGCAAAATATTCCGTCATCTCATCTAATAAATTAGTAACACCTCGTCACCTTTTTATCCTGACCTCAAGACGCATCACCTCTGTTCACAAGCATTTGGTAAGTTACCCATGGCACGAAAAGATTCACTGGACAATCGGTCTCCAGTGCTTCTTAAATGAATGGTTCTTGTGGTCACTGAGACGGCGTTGGGCCTCGGTCAGACACCTCGAACCCGAATACTTGTAGAAATATGCATCCACATATATCATTGTTTTGTTTTGACAGCCAGTTAACTGCGCGCAGTCGCAGTGCTGGGCGCGGTTGACACTAATGCATAACCAGCTAATCACCACCTTCATCTTGAAGGTGTCATTTAATAAATCAACCCTGAACGTGACCATCAGATGAAGTGCACTAAAGACAACCCAGTCGACGGATCACATCATGCGCTCGAAAAAAACACATACAACAACGCAAAACTATGAGGATTCGGGGGTTTCTCCCAGCACTATGGAATATTTTGAGAATTCCCAAAATATATTTGAACTTTTATTGACAGCCGATTGATCAATATGGAATAGGATCGATGTAAAAACCTGAAGTGTGTGTGGCGGTGCCATCATCTGAAAGAGAGAGACTCGCGTTATACCTGTTTGGACACTGGATTAGACTTCATTTTGATTTACTCCTTCCAATATGCAATGATTCCCAATCCTTCCGATATCAACTACGGTGTCCGCGCAAAGGCTTTGCTAACTTATACATAGATTTGACAACCATGGAAACGGCTAAAGGACCTACTGCATCTAATTCGTCTGACTTTTGAGCAAGGAAACGGTACTATGAATTCATTGACAGCAGGCCACCTACTGAACGCCCGAGGGTTTTCCGCAAGTCCCCATAACCGAGAATGGCGTTGTAAAATACGACACATTGGCAGATAAGGGAGGAAATGACTTTGGCAAACTGTACTACCTTTTAGTATTATCTGTGTAGCAGCCTTAAAACGTTTGCATCAGTTAGGAACTTGTCAAATTGCAGTGGCGAACAATGCACGGTTTTTTCCAAGAACTAAAAAATCTTTATCCAAATCGGTGTACTAGCTTACACATTGCCCTCTGTTTTTATGGAAGGAAAAAATTGCTTTCTATTTTGAATTCATTGGTTACAATTACTGGTGCATTTACAGAGCACCCCCATATTACTTGAAGTCTTTTTCATTGCCCATACTCTCTAACTGCAAGACAAGTCAATTAATCTTTGCTTAAGTTTGTCCTGTAGGCCATTTCAGCCACTGGCTAGCTCACTGACTAACGCAAAACCCACATACTCAACTGCTTCTCATAGACGAGAGAAGCACTAAAAACTCCAAATTGTTTTAGAACTCCCCGTCTCCAGTGTAAATAACGTCTTGGTAACTGGCCGTAGCCATGACAACATAAACAGAGCTTCCCGTTGTGGTACTTATTCCAAACAATTTGGTGACAACATGACATGATAAAGTGCAGGATAGTATGAGGAGAATGGACGACGCCAGGGAGAATGGAACAGTGTGGAAACCCCAAACCATTTGCGGTTTCTCAATTGGCTGGCTTGCGGCAATTGTGTCTGTCTCACCAATACTCTTTTGTTTGTATGAACCTGTTTCCAATGTCAACCGACTGAACAAACATCAGTTTCAGTGCATCTACAAATCCCTCATTAACAACCGCTTTCTGAAACGGACTCACCAAATATCAGCTGAGCAGCGGTAGAACAGACGGGAGAACAATGGTGTACTATGGGATTAATCCCGTGGGAAATGGTGGACAAGGGACAAATTCTACTTCTTTCCCCTCTCATCGCCGAGGTGGACCGTTTTATGTTCCGAGTATAAGGAATATTGATTCGGTGGGCGAAATTTCAGGCATCCGGAAAGTTTTTTAACGCCCTCAAAAACGAAGACCAGTCATTCTGTGGTATGCAAAATGTAGGTGTGCACTTCTACAAACAGGCAGGAGTATACCCAGTATGACCGTTTTCGTGTTGTTGCTGCAGTATGAACGATCCGACTGCGTCTTGCATCTCATACCAGAAAACTAACAAACACAAACCTACATGCATTAGCTTTCAACCTCCATTCTCACAAGACGATCTTCCCAAAATTTACTTGGGAATAGCACAGTATTGTATCAAAGCTTTCCTCACAACACTGCCATTACTCTGCCGAATTCATCTAGGTAGCCGTTGAAAAAGAACCTATTTTGGTGACAATCAGTGCCAAAAGTCAACAAAAGATTCTTTTCTCTTTTTTTTTTTTATCTTCTTTCTCCGTGTATGAAATCAATAAGACATGGAAATAATATTTGGCTATGCAAGGAAACAAAGGCTTATTAGCTTTGATAGGCTTACCACCAATTCATATTACACCATGCTTAGTCGAGTCTGAGAGTAGAACTAACTGTGTAGTCCGCCACTTTCGTGTGTTAGTTGGGCCATCCTTACCAGTGGTGCAACGGAAGCAATCTGGTGCCTTATTATAGGGGTTTTGATACTTTAAGCTTAATTAAATTTGCATGAGCTCAATGGGTGAATAACATGTTCAGAAATGTAGAAAGAACAAGGCTTTTCATCTAATTGTACCGTTGTTAGCCTACCTATCCTTTCTTATGCAAGAAACAGGGCCAAATCGGTGAGTTAACGGTTATGTAGAGGCTTTATCTCAGGACGTTACTTCGCGAATTATTCATTCCAAAGTAAGAGCGTCTTGAAAAATTTAGCCCCTAAGAAACTCATTCATGGGATTGCGTATTCCGGATACTTTCTCGCGTATACACCTAGGTCCCTAAAGTGTGTTGTGCAAACTAAGCATGTGGTCATTGTTCCCTTCTGACATTAAATCCACAAACATATGCGTATATATGCTTGGAACATCACATTTGGATATTGTCTTAAGATATACTTTTAGTAGACGAAGTAACTTAAGTATGGTTTCGCATGCGGTAGAACACTCATCTCTGCACACAAACAATATTTTCCGACTGGAGAAGATCTGGTTGCATCATTGCTCACCTTGAATAGATGCGAACAAATTTCAAGTGTACACCTGAAATAATGCAAAGGAAATGCGCAATGTTCTCCCAGCAGTCAGACCCAAACTTCATGTTTGTGTTCACTGGGAGTGCATTAATGAAAATCCAGAAAATGAGCACCTTTTCGTGAAAAATCGAGGAAATTGACATACGAATATCTGATTTACTCATTCCTTTTGGGCTACCTGACATTCTTTCAATCCAGTAAGGTTGAACGAACATGTTCTGTAATTTGGTTAACCGTACATGCCTGGGTATCGCATATGGGTGAAATATAAAAACCACTAAAAACTTATCATCTGGAAATGGCAACCTAGCATTTGGAAATCACACGCTATGCTTACTTGCTTGTCCAACGAAATTAAATTTAACCCGAGAAATGAGGCCGAATTTTAACGTTACGTTACTAATCGAGCTTCCCCAAAGCCTCGTTAACGGCTTTGTGTTCAGTATACAACTCCTGTAAATTCTGCTCTAGTATGCTCTTAATTCTGTTAGTCACCATTTGTCCTTGTGAGGCGAATACTTCAAAGCAAAGCTGGACATATGACCAAATACTTATAGTTTGGATAAGTTTGCTACCACCTTGTCAACAACCAAAAGAACGACATTATAACTGCTGCTTTCGTTCACAGGATTCAGCCTGGTGTTAGTTTAACTGTTAAATCCCGATGGTTGTGTTGGGTCTGACGGAAGTGTTTCTGATAAAGTGAGTGCAAACATCTCAAAGGCTCAAATCACGTTTGCCAATTTGCGTCACTTGTGGCGTCAAAGAGCCATCTCGCTAGATCTTAAGGGTCGTGTGTACCAGACTACAGTAAGGTCTGTGTTTCTGTTGGGCGCGAGGATAGATGATAGATGGCACCTTCATTTTTTCACCACCGATGCCTCAGAAGTCTGAGGTTTTGGATGGCGACACCGAGGTGATTAGAAAACCGGT